ATGTATCTGGTGTTGAGAGGACATCTACTTGTGGTATAATTGGCTGGTTAACAGACGCCTCCGCTTGGACAGTGGTCTGAGTTTCAATGCAGTTAACTGATGCTGGCGGTTTGAATGGGGGTGACTCATACGGTTGTTCATTGAAGAGTCTTCTTAGTAGTTCTAAAAATTCTGTGTGTGATAACCCTTTTTGTAAAACTCTGAATGATTTTTGGAAATACGAAACCACAGTCACTTTAGCATTTGTGTACTCTTGAAATTCCTTCACCTTTGTGACAAAATGGCTTACATCCACATTATCCCTGACACATCCAATAGGGGAACATATCAGATGTTTAAGTCCCTTTTTTTTAAAATCATGCATCATGTCATTGAATGCCATATCGTAATCGTTGTTGTTTGTTTCTGCCGGCTTGCCGAAATACCTCTCTTTGGTTATTAGACTGTATACGATGGCACCGTCTTCATTACTCTGTACAGCAAGATGGTTGGTGAGGCATTGTGAGGTTGTGGGTTTCCCAAAATGGTTTTTAAACACCACAGCCACACCAGCTGTCATGTGGCGTTCGTCATGGAAATCTCTGGAGATGCTGTGAGCAAAAGCAGTACAATTGTCCTTTCGGTATTGTTTGATCATGTTTGCCATATGTGTTTCAGTGACAGTTACTTTGTTAATAGGGATAGTGTTGTCTGAGTCATGTGTGGTAACCGATGCAGAAGAGAGAGTTTTCGAATGAAATTTAGTTATTGCATTGATGATGTTATAAGCTAACTTAGTTTTGCCTCTATTATTCAGATGTAGGCCATGCCTAGTGTGGTCCATCCGATTCAGATTCCTCATATCAATCAAAAAGACATTGTTGAGTCTCAATGATAGTTCTTCCAAATATTCATTAACCAATGGCAGCTCTTTGTTTGCAACATGATGAGATGGTTTGTCATGTCTAAGAGGTATTGTAGTTATGAAAACAGTCCTCTCTCTACTCAACAGTTTCAGCTTTCTCTCAAGATCTTGATAAATACTGTTTAAGCCTATATGGGAAATTCGCTAAAAACTAACATATGTCTCAAATGAAGGAAATGTTCTCCATGTCTACTACAAGATACAATGATATTGCAGTAAATGTAGGAGACAACAATGTCTCGTCAATCTGGACGTTGCTGATAGGTAGTCAATGTTCACTTTTTACCCCAAAGCAGAACAACGAGCGACGCTGCGACATTAACGCGGACACGAAACGCCGAGAAACGCGGGCCTGCGGACACATTTACGGAGTCATAACGACGATCGCGCCGTGGCCGCGATTATTGGACCGACGATCGCACCGTGACCGCGAGTCATAACGACGATCGGGCTGTGACCGCGGAGTCATACCGACAGTCACGCCGTGACCGCGGAGTCATAACGACGATCGCGCCGTGACCGCGAAGTCCTACCGACGATCACGCTGTGACCACGAGTCATACCGACGATCACGCCGTGACCGCGAGTCATACCGACGATCGCGCCGTGACCGCGGAGTCCTACCGACGATCGCGCCGTTACCGCGGAGTCATACTGACGATCATGCCATGATGGCGAGTCATACCGACGATCAAGACTTGACCGCGGAGTCCTACCGACGATCGCGCCGTGACCGCGAGTCATACCGACGATCGCGCCGTGACCGCGAGTCATGACGACGATCGCACCGTGACCGTGGAGTCATACCGACGATAACCCCGTGACCGCGGAGTCATACCGACGATCGCGCCGTGACCGTGGAGTCATACCGACGATAACCCCGTGACCGCGGAGTCATGACGACGATCGCGCCGTGACCGCGAGTCATGACGACGATCGCGCCGTGACCGTGAGTTCTACAGACGATCACCCCGTGACCCGCGAGTCACAAGTTTCTATAGGTACCTGTAAATTGTTACCCATTTTTTGGTTTTTATAGATCAGTGCCACAAATGGTAAAAATTGATTTCGTATACCTTTTTTGGTAACTCCAATACAGTACTTTTTTTTATGCACAGAAAAAAATCCTGTCCCATCCCGTCCCGAAAATCGGGAAGGAAAGAAAAATCCCGTCCCGTCCCGTCCCGAACTAAAATTTCAATCCCGTCCATCCCTAGTGTGTTTATATAAAGAAACTATAGTACATTTAAAGTTTTACTTCTGAAGACCTTGTTAACACTTGTTAAGGTATGTGTATATATATATACATATTTAAAAAAAAGTAAATTTAAATAACCTGATTATGCCTACCCCTTAATAGTTTTTTAGTTTTTTGTTTTAAAAGTAGGCTATACAAGTTATTGAAATTTACTTATTTTATTTAACTATATTACTAGTAGCCCTAAAGAGTGAATATATATATATGTATATATATACCAGTATATAAGTCATTATTTAGCTTTTTAGTTTTAGCGCTTGCGGACACATTTTGAGGTTTTCACAGGCCGTTGCAGACACGTAGGAACCATTCTGCTTTGGGGACTTTTTATTAAATTAAACTATTCCTCTATAGTCGATACTGATGTAAAGGAAATGTTTATTAAATTTAAATTATTTTAATTCACAGAATATATAATTTATATAGAATATCATGATCAACTAGAGGACCCATGCTGCTCCGCAGCGTTAAAATAATTATTATATCCGAGAAATAATCAAATTTATAAATTTTGATTGAGTAATACAGTATCTTGAGCTTAACTAATTCAAACGATCAATATCTCAAACTAAATCCTATAGTTTACTGATTATTTTGTGTCTAAAACATATAGAAATACATGAACAATACTGGAGCTATTGATTTTTAACCATATTAAAACCTTATGAAAAATACTTTTTATATTAGTTTTTCACCTTGCTTTTGCTTGAAACTCGTCCAATTTGAATAACTAATAGCTTAAATGAAAGCCAGTATTTAACTGAAGGTTCTTAGACTAAAATATATAGGATTATACATTTAAAACTGGTAAAGGTACATCTCAAATTTAAGTAAGAATCATAAAATAAATCAAATTGTGTGTTCTAGTCGTGTAATACTGTAGATAAATATTTGTAGATGATTGATGGCAAATTTGTGAGTGCATACCTTCAATTCGAGACCTCAATCATGAAAATCGGTCGGGTAGAAAAGCCAAACGAACCCGGCAAAGAAAAGCCAATTTAACTTCCATAAGAAAAACATGGGAAGCGAATTTCGTTTGTGTATACACCGAGTGGGATAATAGATAAATATATGCAAATGCTATATGGCAAATCTGTGCGTGCATACATTCAATTTGAGACCTCAATCATCAAAATCGGTCGGGCAGAAGAGGCAAACGAACTCGGCAAAGAAAAACCAAATTTAACTTCCATAAGAAATACATGGGGAGCAAATTTCATTTGCGTATACACCGAGTGGGATTATAGATAAATATATGCCAATGCTTGATGGCAAATCTGTGCGTGCATACCTTCAATTTGAGACCTCAATCATTAAAATCGGTCGTGTAGAAGAGCCCAAAGAACTCGGCAAAGAAAAGCCAAACTTAACTCCCATAAGAAATACATGGGGAGCAAATTTCGTTTACATATAAGCCGAGTGGGATTATAGATAAATATATTCCGATGCTTGATGGCAAATCTGTGCGTGCATACCTTCAATTTGAGACCTCAATCATGAAAATCGGTCGGGTAGAAGAGCCAAACGAACTCAGCAAAGAAAAACCAAATTTAACTCCCATAAGAAATACATGGGGAGCAAATTTCGTTTACGTATAAGCCGAGTGGGATTATAGATAAATATATTCCGATGCTTGATGGCAAATCTGTGCGTGAATACCTTCAATTTGAGACCTCAATCATGAAAATCGGTCGGGTAGAAGAGCCAAACGAACTCGGCAAAGAAAAGCCAAATTTAACTCCCATAAGAAATACATGGGGAGCAAATTTCGTTTACGTATAAGCCGAGTGGGATTATAGATACATATATTCCGATGCTTGATGGCAAATCTGTGCATGAATGCCTTCAATTTGAGACCTCAATCATGAAAATCGGTCGGGTAGAAGAGCCAAACGAACTCGGCAAAGAAAACCCAAATTTAACTCCCATAAGAAATACATGGGGAGCAAATTTCGTTTACGTATAAGCCGAGTAATACTATAGATAATTATATGCCGATGCTTGATGGCAAATCTGTGCGTGAATACCTTCAATTTGAGACCTCAATCATGAAAATCGGTCGGGTAGAAAAGCCAAACGAACTCGGAAAAGAAAAACCAAATTTTTTTAATATATAAGATGGCTAATTAGTTTTACTAAATTACATTCACCTTATTGGCAGAACTGGAGAACAGCTGTCAATTAACTAAAGTCATTTCTGTAATGAGCTGATTCCAAAAACTTTCTTAGTTGGCTGATTCCCATTAAAAATTGTACAAACTCGTGATAAAACGAGTTCAAGACTTAGGCCTACTGAACTTGGAACAATCATAGTGCGTAGGAACTGGGAATTACAGCCTATTTAAGCCAGTCAAATCAAAGGAGTTTAACCAAGTAAGACTGTTGCCTTATTTAGTTACTGATATAGTAAAGTTGACATTTATAAAGGGTTACATTATTTTAGAAGAATAAACTTATAATTTGTTATTACCATGAATTGGAGTAATTTTTCAAGGATCCTACCATCTGAGGGAAATCACCAAATGACACGCTATCACAGCAAAAACCATCTTGGCTGCTGGTGTAGCGTTGAGACATAATAATTCTAAATCAAATCTTGCCTACATACTCTCCGGTGATTGGCCTATTCAGGGGTACTGGGTAGTCTTTCATTGTATACACAGCTTACTCATCTCAGAGAAAACAGCCTGAGGTCGGAAAATTTTGCTAGAAGCTCGTGTCTTTGTAAAAAAAGTAGGCTGACCCACCTCTAGTTGTTTTTTTTCCCAACAGCTTTTTGGCTTACCCTATCTAACTAAAAATGTTTTTCATAACATGCCCAACTTGTTGATGCAGGATTGCTGGTAACATTCTGCAAGAGTGGCTCTGTGCGGAGGTTGGCTGGTAGAACGGAGGCAGTTACTCCCAGAAGTCTTTCAGCATTGCCAGAGCCTGTGTTGTCTGTCTCCTCGTCTTACTACTTCCACGACAGGGTGAGATATCCTTTATGGGAACTACTGACAACGTAATATTAAATTATTTGATTTTAAATCTCACCTGTAAATAATATTTCTTTGATTATTAATGCTGCAATGTTTGGTTGGCGCCATTAGCTGCAATCGTCAATAGCAGAACTAGTGACTTCACAACGAATAGATAGCACTAGCGGCGTTATGGGATCGTAGTTGGCGGAAATTGATTGCTTACATGGAACCGATTTACTAGCGGCTACATGGCAATCATTATTGGCTGAGGCTTTTAGAGGTTATAGGGCGATCATCTAGGGTAATACTGGTCGTGACATTTAAATTTTATTTAAATATCATATAAGCTCATTTGCCAGCCTTGTCATTCCTATACCCTAGTCAAAACTGAGGATGTCAAAATGATTTTCAACTAACTCTAACCTCAAGGATTTTACACATAAAGACATAATTTTACTTGTGTTCACAGCCTAGCCAAGTACGGCCTAGAGTAGGAGGTAATCTGTCTCGACGGCCACAACTCCGCAGCAACAAAGCTCTCGTCATTGTCTACGACGCTTCTCAACTGTTCTTTGTTCAGCGAAATCTTGCTGAAAACTATATGTAAGTCTCTTTTGTTTTGGAAATAGTCTTTGCTTTAGAGAATTGATTTGCATAGTGCATAGTTATAGGGTCTGAAAATATATAAGGTAATGTAATAGCCTATTTCCCAGGATACATGGCAAATACAGGCCATAAATGTGGCTTAGGTTGACAGCTTTGTATTATTTTAGAGAAAATGTTTAAAGGAATACATTTTTCATATTCCTATATTACAAATTTTGTTTGTTTTTTTTTATGTTGTCTCAAAAGACGTCTGCCAACCTCTTCTGGGAAAATAAAAAATTGTATTAACGCTAATATTCTAGCTTGAATAAAAAATTAGGCCTATGTTGTCCACAATACTGTAGTAGCGACTTGATAACAGATTTGACTGGGCCAATGTCCCTGGGATGTGCCATCACAACGCCATGGTGGCCGCTAGTGTGGGAAGGAGAGATCTGGTACAGGCTTGGTCATTGGCAGCTCTAGCGACCACCGACCCTTCCAACGACCGGGATGACGACTTCCCCTGGCACGCTCATCCCTTCTCACGCAACATGCTGCAGTCCATGTGAGTCAACGTCAGATTGTTCAAACACTATAATGTCAGCGAGTTAGGTTGTTTTAATAAAAGTTTATTTATGGCCTTCAGTATTTGTTTTCTATTATTATAAGCGCAATGAATCGGTGTAAGTACCCGTATTCATGAGATCCAGAACTTTCCAATAGGGCAACTAGCTTTTAACTTCTAAGTTGTCATCATCTGGTTTGTGCAAGATGTCCTGATAGCATGTCGCTTCATTTGAAGATCGTCGACATTAACAATAAAACTTGCAAACATTACAAAAATATGGTGTGTTATGTTGACGTTTTTTATGTTGACTTGTTCTTGTTACGCTGGTTAACAAACTCATTCGAATGAATGTAGGCTTACACGTTTGTATCAAATTTCATAAAAATCGGGTGATTTTTACTTGTTATTGTGCCAACGGACACATATAAATAATTGGCATAATTGTACATTATGAATTTGAAAGGATGGTGTTTTTGCCATCTGGGGACATCAAAACGAAAAAGTAAAGCAGTCCCGGATCTAGGTTGTACCATTAAACCTACCGTAATAGCTCATTCCCTAAATGGGAAATTTGCTGACTGGACAAAATGAAAATAACAAATGGAAAATAGAAATATGTGCTTTGTACTTGACAATAAATTGTATTCCTCTCCTATTGTTTTATCTCCAGAATCTGGCACTTTGCAAAGCAGTACGACATTCAGATGGCAGCCATGTTGAGTTGTGCTCTCAGTTCTAGGCTGGAAGGTCAGGCCGGCTACAAGAACAAACATCTCAACAAAGCCACCAATAACACTGTGAGTTGATCTAGCTTTTGCAAGGAAATTTTATGAACTGGTTTTCCAATGTACAGGATTTTAAAATTATATTCATTTCCACATTTGCCATGCAATACTTATGGTGTTATGCTATTAGCATTAATGAAAACTTTGTGTTTATTGTCATGCGGGTTGTTTCAACTGTCCTCGCTACTCTCTTGATGGCGTTTAAAGTAAATTTTATAATTTCTGTAACTTTACGCTTTTTATGGTTTTGGATTTTGACTTTGTTATGGTAAAAACTAGAATAGTTTTAAACAAATCTTAGAAGAAAAAAAATAAGGGGAATTTGGCTGGTTTATGTCTTTAAAATGACCAGTGTTACTGAGATACAGCCATTTGAAATACTTGTTCTATAGGCTTGAAATTTGAGATTTGAAATTTTACAGTACTGCACGGTGAGTGTGGAATGGACTATAGAATGGTTTGTGTGCTGACTAAAATTTATTGTTTTTCAACACCTCCGTTTTCTTATCTTGCAAGGAAAAAATGTTAAGCTGTTCTTAGTCTAGAGTTCCTACAGGAATATGTAAAATAGGTCTAGCTTTTTGAATAGATGTTTGATGTTAATACTGTTGAGAAGTTTTAAAAATTTAATAGCAAGAACCTTGTATAATAATCAGGTAGGTTATATAAATTAAATAATGTTTATAACCAAAGGTACGAATCAAATGCTGTTGCTTTTACAGGTTTTTGTTAATAGATATCGGTGTACATTGGAGTTATTGGTATGGACATTCGTGTTTATTCAAGTTCTTGGGAGTTTTATTTATTGGCAACGACTTTCAGCTACTTAAATGTGCTAAACCTGGTAGTTGTGGACTCACCCAAAGCTAAAATATAGAATTTCTTGAAAAATATCAAATTATTGTTTGCCTATCCAATAATAGGTAACATAATTGATTGGATGGTTGAGTAAACTACATTGAAATCTAATTTTTAAACAATGTAGCCTACTGTGGAAAATATATGTGAAGCTAATCGTTCGCTTTAGCCACCTAAAAACACCCCCCTTTTTTGTGATGAACTTCAGCTTCCTTAAAATTAAAGTCTTCCTAGCAATTATTTATATGTTTCTTGCTCAAAATTTCCTCAGTAGGCCTATGAGAATTTTTTAATTTGAACAAAATACTGGAAGATAAAGGGGATCAATTGTAAAAAAATTAAGGAGTTTTTTGAAAAGGGATAGAGTTCAGATAGCTTATAGATAGGTACACAATAAAAGGTCTCATAACATAAAAATGATACTTTGTCAGTGTCAAACTTTTTTCATTTTTCCCCTCCTGGTCTGTGTCTACTTTGGGACAAAATATCAGTGTTTTGCTATTTAGTCTTTTATTGTGTATTTGTCGTTTTACTAATGTTTCGTAACATGAGTAGAATAGGCAAAAGAGAATAACTTGGCTGTTTAAGTCTACTGCAGTAGCCAGTTGATACATCCAACATTGATCGTAAAAACAATATTTTCGCAGGTTTAATTCAATCCGTTCTGTAGCAGAATAAAATTAATAATTGACAAAATGTAAATAAAATTAATGTTACAAACTTTGTGGTTTTCTTTTGTTGACACAACAGGAAGATACCAGTCAATATTTACTTCCAAAAGCTCCTCCTCGATGCTCAGGGTGTAGTCAAAGCTCCGGAGTATGAACGGACACAAACAGACCTAAATGTTGGCGGGTTCATTTACCTTACTGTGCAGTTTCAGTCCAGATGGTTTCAGTAGTTTCTCGTTAACCTAAAACAAACACATACAGAAATCACATTTTATCACCATACTGGATCTATAAGGCCATGAACTATAAATTTCTTAAGTTAGCTGTTTGATCTCTATCCCATCCCAAAATACAAAACAAAATAAAACTCCTCAATCAGCCTTTTGGTTCTCCCTTGAAACAAAAATTAAAAAAACAAAAACTTTAAACTAAAACAAGCAGTGGTTCAATAATATATTGACCTAAAGATGACATGTTTCATTTGTAGCCTGATGATTGGTTATTTTTTCCGTTGTAGCGGGTGGCTAATGGGAAGTGGTGGATCAAGGTAAGGCATTTCACCCCGTAGGCCTAGTCAGTCAGTCGCATGAATATCTCCTGCACAGCTTAATATCCTTACAATGAGTTGTAGCTAAACAAAGTCCCACACTCGAGTATTTTAACTGTGTTCATTACCTTTTTTGTTATTTAAATTGGCCATTTCCTGACTACTTATGTCCAATCGCTGTGAGAAATTTTGTAGTTGTCTTTTGTAATAATCTTAGACTTTCAATTTACATTGACTCCGTTGCCTTTAGATATTGGTAGGCTGAATAGCAAATAACGGTCATAATTTATGTAAATTAGTGCAGGCCTGCACTTTGAGCAATTTTTTGTGTTACAGTAAACTCCCTCTTATTCGGAATCCTCGGGACCAAGGCCAGTCCAGACAACGGGTTTTCCGGTTAAACCGACGTCCCCAAAAACTCGTTAAAACGGACCGCTTAAAATGCATACTGCATACAGTATTTGACTTAAATTTAGGAGAGCATTGTATTTAGACATGTGATCACTGGTCTCAAATCTTTCCCACGAGAACAGTCGTTTCAGTACCGCCCACTTCATGCCGATCTAGTCCGGTTAAACCGATGTGCTAATGAAAATTGTGTGGTTAAAGACATGTCATTTCCATCGAGTGTAGTCTGGTTTAACCGATGTCCGGTTAAAAGGTGTCCGTATAAGAGGGAGTCTACTGTAATTATTGCTGGAAAGTTGTCCTTCTTTGGGGATTTAGAAGTTTATTAGCTGACATCCTGGTCCAATCGTAACAAATTTTACTTAATAGGCTCACTTACTTGCTATATCATTGACTGTTCTCACTATGTATTCATATTCATTTTTCCACTACCCAAAAATCCAACTTAATAACCTACCAAATTCTTTTACCCCTTACATTCCATGAACCCTTTTGCCCACCACATCATTTTGTAAACCCTTCTGCCCACCACATTCCGTCAGCCCTTAAGCCCACTACATTCTGAGAACCCTAACGTCCAGATCAAAGCATGAAGAAGTTTATCAGGCTGAAATAAATGTTTGTGCCTCAAACATTCAACTTTGTAAGGTTTGTAAGTATCCTTACTTGGGCTACTTAGGTGTCTTTATAGTTGGATTTTCTCATCGATTGAATGAATAACTCGACAGAAGCCAACTGAGTTACACTATAGGACCCAAAAGCAGACCTTAAAATTATTAGTTTTCCAAACTGAAAAAGGGAATTTTTATGGATTGCATGTTGGGGTCTGTCAGGTTTAACCATAGATTAACGATTAAACATATTTGCTTATCCTCATAATTCTCATGGATCAGCTGAAAATTGTTTAAGGTTAATTATTTTATCACTTAAACGTTATAATTTTATTGCTTAATCTTATTACACTTAGCTTCACCGTCCATTTTGCTGTAAAGTATACACTGTGTATAGCAATGACTACATGTATGATAATTTGAACAATTTTTTTGGTAATGTTTTAACACTTATCTAGTTTAGACAATTATGTTTCTCGATTTCTGATAAACCACTGATACAATTTCTTTGTTACTATATTATTAAATTGGACTTTTCCAAAGTGTCTTGTGTTTAAAACTACACGACATTTCTGGAGGTGGATAGACTCCACCCGTTACCAAGTGAAAATTACTTAGGTACTCTACATTAAACTTAATTGGCCCAAAAAAGGTGGCCAATCACAAAAACTGCTTACTGAAAACAATCTATTTCTTTGTTTTGATTAAATATATTCACTTTCTGATCACGAGTTGAATATTGTGTTGTATTTGTGTTTTTATCAGCTATTAACTCTGAACTTCTCCCTTTAGCCAGGTGGATCTCCCTACCACACCATACACCAGGTAGACACGTCAGTGCAGGGATGGAACTTCTCCGTTCTCAAACAGAACCGTTCCAACTCCTGGTCAGAGTCTCTGGACGACTGTCGTCTCTCCAACATCGTGGAGCACTTCTCTGTCCACACTGAGATAGATCGGTCACTTGAGTAAGTCGAGACTCTAAATTATTTTGTAAACCCAAATTGATATTGTTTGATGGTAAATTTGAGACAAAAAGTATTTTTATTATAGTTTTTGGAAGAATAAGCACATAGCAACTAACTTTCTCAAGACAGGGTGGATAAACATAATTAATGCGATATTTTACTCTTTACTCAGAATTATGGGTTTGTTTCCGCTTGGTGTCTGCAAATATTTATCTTTCTTACCTCTCTAAGCTTGAGACAGTTAAAAACATTAAACAGTAACAATAGTGCTACCTTGGATGTTGTTAAAGTTGTATAAGTAGTATAAGGGAATTACATAAGATTACCCTGTATTAGTAATAATCAAACAGTAGAAACAAAATTACACAGATTATTAGTTTGTTTATAACAATATTAGAGGCAACAAGTAATTTGTTGGTTAACCTTCATACCACTATGATTTAAATATTTGATTTTAGAGTTGATGAAGCTAACACACACTTGTACGATGAGTACAAACAAGCCTACGCAGAGATACTATACAGGTGGCGTTTGTTGGATGCAAGAGCTCAGGTAAGCTTCAATGCTTTCGCCACTTCATTTTTTAAATCTACTTTGAAGTAATTGTTTTTTAAACCAACATGTTCTTTTTGTTAAGTATCAAAATCTCAGGACCAGGGCCGGACTTAGGACTTCAGGGGCCCCGGGCGAATTTCCCAATGGGGCCCTAGGATTTCAGTTTGGGTGGGGGGTCCTCCCCGGGAAAAACTTCTGAATTTAGGCTTCAAATAGAGCAATTTAAGGCCAAATAAGCAATAAGTTCTATATCAAAAATCGTTTTAAAATATAACTATTTTAACATATTTTATATACAGCATCTTTTAATTTTATACACAAAAAATAAAAACGTTTGAAACCTAATCACTTGCATTCACTATTTAAACAAACTCTGACCAAATGTTTCAATTGCTTTGTAGTACCAGTTACGGCATATTTGGTATGGTAGCATGGTAGGCCACCATAATATATTTGGATTAGAAGTATTGATATATTTTTGTTTATTAAGTATTTAAATTATCCATTATTGCTGTCGATTTGTATAATTTTTCAATATTACTACAATATAGGTGTGATTATTTTATTTAGGTTTAAAACTCTTTTTCTAATAATAAAAATCAAACTAATTTGAATTTTAAAATCTTTTGTTTTTTGCCACGATTTAGCCACCTCGTTAGAGACATATAGCGTGGTTTTTAATTGTTGAAGTAGTAAACGTTGCTCATTCATGTGTATATAGTTTTAATGTATATTAACTTATATACATAACATTTTCTGTTTTCAATTAGCCTACGTATCAACACCAATACAATTAAAATAGGCTTGGAACTAGGTTTTTCATTAAAATTCATTAACTCTAAAACACAACTGTTGGGTTGTAGAGATTTTTGTTTTTCGTAAAAAACCATAAAATATAAAATATGACTTATGTTTATTTCCATAATGGTTTTGGTACCTCAGTTTTGGCATTCTCGTTTTTATAATATGTTTTAAAGTCCTAGCATTAAAAGTACCATTGAGGACTTTCAAGTTTGAGTTTCTTATCAACGAGCAAAATCTTGCAATAAAAGTCTAATAATATTGATCCAATATTGATTAATACAACACAAACATAGCATTGAATACAACATTACTCACTTCAGCTTTGTTTTTGTACTGTTAGTTTGCAGTAGAATTGTGAATCTCCATTTAACACAACACAATTTTACAAACAATTTATTGTATTTTTGCTCCAAGCGCAACCCTTGTAACCCTTGAAGATAGTCCCTTCAACTCATTCGCCGCGGCCGTACGTTCGGGCGAGCGGCTTCATTGAAACTGAAACTTGTCCGTCACAGTCACAGCCTAACACATATGCTCGTGTAATCCAGGCCTAAGCGTGGGGCCCAATGCAACTCTGAGGAAAAGTCCCTTAGGATCAAGAATTTCTTTCCTAGTAATGCCTTAAAATGCACCTAACAATAACCATAAATATAGGATAACGAAAATAAAAATAAAGCTGTTACAAAAGAAGGCCATTTGGTAAGTGTCTGATTAATTTTCGAAGTTATTAATAAAAACTACTGTGCAAGGGGGCCCCTGGTGGGGCCCCCCTTGGCCCGGGGGCCCCGGGCACTCGCCCCCTCCGCCCATAGGTAAGTCCGGCCCTGCTCAGGACTAGTTTTGAGTGAGTGTTTTTTTATACTTGGAGCGTCTTTAATATTTCAGGTTTTAGTCTTCTTCAAGCTATTCTCAGGTTCGAGGTAATATTGATTTGATACTAAATTTTACAGTCATGGTGGCAAGTGCAGCACACTGTTGTCGGATGCTAAAGTTGAAGTCATGCTGTTAGGTACTAAAGCTCACTTTTATGTCATCAGGTGCTGAAGTTCATGTCTGCCATGCCCGAGCCACACAGAGGGATTGAGCCCAAGGTGGACTGTCAACATTGTCGCAAATCAGGTCTAGAGGCTAACTGCACAAACTGTAAAAAGCCTGCCTTGCAGTGTGTCATCTGTCACCTGTCTGTCAGAGGTAACTGTAGCCTACATCGAAAATTAATTGCTAATAAAAATTTACTTGTGTAATAACTGAGTGATACCAATAAAATAACAATCAACTAATTATATTTCTAGATAAGATTTCCTTGTATTTGAAGCTGGATATCTAATAAATTAAAAGCTGATTTGTTCCAAGGTTGCAACAAATGAGCATGGTTTTAAGGGGTTATACAGCTTACCTATTCTCTGGTGTGTTGTAGGATCCATGAGTAGCTGTCTAGTGTGTGGCCATGGTGGACATCTCCGTCACATGCAGGAGTGGTTCAAGACAGAGAGTGTGTGTCCGAGTGGCTGCGGATGTCATTGCATCATAGAGTCCGCCAGTGTGGTGGAGCCTTAAGAGTCCTAACAAGACTAGTTGATCTCCTTGGAACATTGACTTTCGGATACTGTAATAGACATTCTATCTATATAGACCGACTTAAATTTAGTGTTTATTAAGAAAAAAATAGTTGAATGAGCCACTCAACCGCAAGTGTCAAACATAGTGTTACTGTGAAGGCTTCAACTTTAACAAAATTTATCAAGTTGTATCCAAAGTCTAAGATAGACTCCCTCTCATTTGGACCTGTTAGAATCTGACAACATAACATCGGATACTGAAGTAGACTTCCTATCTATAGGCTGTGGAGTAGCTGTAGCCATTTTTTTAAATTAAAAACAAACGTAGTTGTGTGAGCCAGTCACCGAATGTGCTAGTGTCCAAAATTCTATTTTATTAAAAGATAATGTGTCAACTTGACCACTTTTGCACTTTCGCCAATGTGTCCATAACCTCAAAAACATTCAATTTACAACCTTTTTTTACAGTTGTTATTTATTTATCTAATCGGTAGAGTACTGGGGTGTGGTTTTTCAACGTATCCATTGTATTATTTGTTTACTATCTTCGGCGATCAGACTTTTAGGGAGTTTGCCATATAGGGAATAATCGATTACCGTAGATCTCATGGTAAGACCTAGATCCTTTACTTTTTCGTTTGAGGTCGCTAGAGCCCCCGTTCAAATTCATATACATGTGTCCGTTAGCGTGATAACTCGAGCAAAAATGATTTGATTAAATTTAGTACAAACATGTAAACCTCCATTTATTTGAATTAGTTCTCAAACCAGCACGATCAAACTATGGGAAGGGGACTTTGTGGGTTTAAAATTGGTCTACCCCATTTTTTACTCTAAAAACTTAAAATTTCACAATTTCTTTCCAAACCATTTTGTAGAGCTTAAAAAAGAAATATTCTTGTATATTGAAGCGTTGTTGTATGCCCAACGATTCCGGAGATAAAAAATTATAAATTAAGAAATTCCCATGTTATTCTTATGGAGAATAAATAAACTGTTGTAATTTGTTTGTTTATGGATATATTTTAATAAAATTTGGCAATTTTATTGATTTCATACTAAGCTATCAACATTTCAATAAAAAAAAACACACCTCAAAACCTATCCTATAACAGTATAACTAAGTAGGCATTCATAAAAATTTTATGTTAGGCTACCTATTTAAATAGGAAATAAATCAAAATCTTACAACTTTAAGGGAATAGTTTAGTAGAAATCCAGCCAGGTAAATGGAAATTCGCTTAGTCTGCAGGTTTGCTGTGGCAGGGGTGTTTTTAGTTTAGACAAGATTTCTGTCCCAAGGTGTCTAAAAGAGTGGAAGTCTATTGTTCCTGAAAGCAAAACCTGATACGGGCCAGGTGCTACTTTGGAGCTGTTAAAAAAAATTACTAAGTTTGTGAGATAGTGTTTTAGAACTCTGTCATGCTTGGTATACATTGGAAAATTAAAATATTTAAAATGTATAATGTGTATGAAATTTAGAAACTAGTTGACGGTTGTGTATTACTGTGTTGATGTTAATCCACTCATTGAAAATCAACAGTGATGGGCGGATCCAATAAAATGTCGGTACCGGATCCGGATCTTAAAAAATTAAAATCGGGTTGAAAAAAAAAAAAACGTAATATTTACAGATCCAATTTAAATCATACTGTTTTATATTAAATTGGTAATGTTTTAATGTTGATGTAATAAGATATAGAATAACATAGCTTATATGGCTGGCTAGGCAACGTCACAGAATATGTTGACGTCTAGAAATGATATGGCTGAGCAATATCCCTCATTTTTGGTGGACTCTAAAATTTTCAAAATCATGGAATGAAACTTCCTGCTAAGTTTGCACGACCACCAAGAGGGTATGGAGACAAAAAAAATTTGAACAAGTAATATTTAAAAAAATAATAAATCGGATCCATCAAAACTGGATCCAGCCCAAAATCCGATTTTTTGGATCCGATCAGGCGTCGGTCCTAGCTTAGATCCGGTAGTCCGATATCTGGATCCAACCATCACTAAACATCATACACAGTAATGTAATTGGTACATGATGCAAGTAACTCAGTTACATTTCAAGGTTGTAAATACAGATTTTTGTAAGTATACCTTTTTTTCACTTGAATTGTTGAATTTCATTTACGTTGAATCTGTATATAATGTTTTATAATGTAAGTTGGCAATAATTGTAAAGTGCCTTACATGAATTAATTAAGACCTACTTGCAATAAAAATATCTAAAATAATTATGACATATTTCTTGATCCTTCTTTAGTTGATTTTACCTGACCAGCCATGAAAAATCTTTGGACCACTTGCACAGTGAAAATATTATTTTGAGCGATTTTTGTCACAGCTATTTAATCTCTGACCAACTGTGACACAAGTACATGTGAGTAGCGCCCCTTTCCCCTCCCCCCCCCCATCAAACCCTTTTATCACTCATTCTTTATTTGCTTATCTCAGCAAAAGCCGCAATCGCTATAAAAATAAATGAAAAATCTCATGTACGTGTTGGTTTTGATTGCCTCTTTCGGTCAGGGAAACTTCGTCATGGAGTTTCATGATTAGGGGTCTCAATCCCGGGCCTTCAATCCAATCCCGGGATTTCCGGATTCGTCTCAGCCGATCCCGGGATCCCAGGATCAATCCCGGGATTATATAATATTATTTATTTATTTATTTATTTATTTATTAAACATCATCACATTACATCAATTCTCTTGACAGGTGATTTGTCACAAAGTCTAATACTAATACTATACTACATTTTAAAATAAAATAGCTTACAAAAGAAATAAAGCATATAATAAGCTACAAACCTATGGGAGAAGCAATATCTTTCAAATATACTCATTTTCCAGATATTCCTCTAACGAGTAAAATGCCCTCTCCAAAAGGAAATTTTTTAAAGATAGTTTAAATTTAGAGAATGAGGCAATGTTTTTAATCCCAGCGGGTAATTTATTGTAAATTTTTGGTCCCATATACTGAGGGGATTAATGAAAGATTTTAAGCCTATGTTGAACTGGTTTTATAATATTTTTGAATCTTGTGTTATGTGGATGAGATTGTTGACAGTCCATGAATGTGTCGAAATCACTTTTAACCATTAATGCCAATTTGTAAATATAAGAGCTAAAAAAAGTTAAAATTTTAAAATAAATAAATAAATCTTTACAATGTGTTCTACGGGAGACTCTGGCCATTAATCGTACAGCTCTTTTTTGGAGAATAAATATTTTTTTGGCCTGGTTTGATGAGCCCCATACAGTAATTCCATAATTCATAATCGATGAAAAATATGCGTGATATACTACTATTTGTGTTTCTAGATTAGTAGTATCCCGAATTATTGTGAGAACAAATGTTGTTGAATTATGATTTTTAACTTTTTAGCCATTTTAAATAAGCGAGAAGTCCCCTTGTTGAGTACTTTAATGAACTGGCCTTACCAGTGTTACACTGCGTAATGTTTCCGTTTTCTAAGTAAATAAATATTACCACGCGGAACTTTCATCGCCCGTATTTCTTATTTACAGTGTATAATGTTAATATGTCACTCTAGAATATAATAAATACATTTAAAAAAATCGTGAGCAACCGCACTTGCACGCAGCCTATACGCCACGCTAGCTAAAATAAAAAGATAAAATGGGAAGAATCACGAGTATCAGCGTAAAAATGTTATTTTGACTGACAGCAATAAAACAATATAAGATACTGTAAAACAATAAACCATCTGCTTATGTAGTATCGTGTGTATGAAAAATTTAATTTTAAATTGTAAGAAATTTATAATCACCACACTAAGAACCAAATACGAAGATAATGTTATAGACCCTAAATATAAGCAATCTTAATAATGAGATTATATTTGTGTGTTTATAGTTATATTTTATGGCTTAAATTAAAATAATACTTAAATTTCCGATTGCAATGTTATTTTTGCTACAAGAATTGCGTTGTTTACGTTTAATGTCAAAAGTAAAACTCAAAATAACTCGTAGGCCTACTGTAATTAAGTTCTAACTAATGTAATAACATATATTTACAGAAAGTAAAAACAAATCGTCTAAAAACTGAAACATATATTTAGGCCTACATTCGTCCACCTATTGAGTTTAATGATAATTAAATTTTCCAACCAAAAAAGGTCATTCTTAGGCTATACCATTTCATATAATCGTCCTAAAAATAAAGAGTATATGTTTTTCAAGTTTTATTGGACTATTTTTATTAATTTTCCGTAAGTAAAAGTCCTCAAATTCACATAGGTTTTGCAATCCCGTAAAATCCCGGAATTAAAAGTCACCAATCCCGGGATTTCTAGGTATCAAAAATCGGCCGGGATTCGGGATCCAGGGATTGAGACCTCTATCATGATCGTGGCTTCATCTTGTACATCCAGTTTTGAAGATATCATCATCGTCTCCCGCAGTCATGCAAACAACGGTAATCTTTTTTCTGCAATTGTGGAAAAATCAATATTATCTTCTTCGGTTTTGTAGACATCATTTTTGTCTCCCGCGGTCATGGAAATAACGTAATCTTTTTCCGCAATCGTGGCAAAATCATGAATATATTCTTTAGTCTTGAAGACATGTTCGACTCCCACGGTCACAGAAATATTTGTCATCTTTTCCCGCAGTTACGGCAAATTTGGAACTAACTTAAACTAAAATTTGTGTCACTGTAAAACACAACACATTGTGAACACAGTGTTTGTATCTTATATTTAGAAGTTTTATTTCCTTTTTGGACCAAATTTTGTGTTTAAAGCTTATTGTTGGCTAAATTAACCCAGCTGTCTCTGTCTCTGCTCACCACCATAACTACAGCTACGGTAGCTCCTCGTCTGCTTTCTGCTTACGTTTACACTCCTACACGCTTAGGGTACATTAAAATAATTTTCTTACTTCTCGTTTTTTGACATTCTTGATCGTTGGATCGTTCCTAGACCGATCTAATGCCGACAAGAAAATGTGTATTTTCAGTCAAGTTAGAAAAGGGATTAGTTGTGAAAAACGTTTACTTGTTCTAAAAACAATCAAAACAACTCCAACCTGTAAACAGTTGCACCATCCTCCAAAATTGACAGTTTTGTTCTTTAAACATGACTCTAAATTCAATCGTTTTGCTCGCGTTGATGAAGAAACTGCATTTCACACTGTAGTAAAAACATCACCAGAGTTTGGAGTTCATGGATTGTACCACTATACTTCAAAATGTGTTGTTTAAAAACTCCTAGTCTGGCAAAACATATTTCCTATTTCTAATCTAATACTGAATGGCTGATAAAATCATTTATCTTTTATCCAGTAATTTGATATTAAGCGAGGGGGGATACATCAGTAATCCAGAAAAAAGTTTTGGAGTTAAAAGCCTAAGTTGCCAATTTTTTTCAATAGCATTGTCAATAGCAATTTTTTTCATAAGCATGTCTGAATGAAAATTAAAAGCAACTATTTTAGTGTTAGTGAAAAAATTTGCTAACAAATCGACAATTCTAGTTTAAAATTTCTAAAACGTACTATATAATATAAACTATATGTTTTTAGGAATTGTCAGATAATATTCAGTAAAAAAATACAAAATGCTGAATGTTCCAGTACCTATCTAAAATAGGCCCCTAAAAACGAATAAAAGTAATTCTAAATTTTAAAAATGTAAGTGACCCCCACCCCCCTAAGGTAAGTTCCGCGGGTCATAATTGTCCTCTTTTTTGATGGTGGATCTATTATTTACAAAAAATGTTGATAGTAGTTACATTTTTTTAATGATTTAAAATGTATGGTTTTAGAAAAGAAAATTTAAATCATTCTAGGACGGATTGGTAAACAAGGCAATATACACTGATCATAATAACGCTTCATATTTGTTTGGAGTCAGATCATAGTGGCGTAGAACTGTCAGGTCGATTCCGTCGTCTGCAAAGTGCAAAAATGGTTTAGGTTTACTGTTTGTGTACGCTCCTTCACTTTACTGTCTCGTTTCGGATGTTGACTGAAAATAATGATTTCTGTCTGAAGCACTAAGCAGTAATGCTGCTCTTTACGTTATCTGGGACTAGTTGTACGCGTATTTCTTTTGTGGAGTTTCGGTGATTAATTTATTGGAACATTGAATGCCAGTACAATACACGAAGTTGCCATATTTCGGTTGATTAATTCTAAGTAATGAAAATGGATTAGCTTACTTAAGTGTTGGCTTAGGCTAAACTTCTTGATTGGATAACCCTTCAAAAGGTGTGTACACAATTTAATTATTTAAAAAAACCTTCAGAAAACCCCTAAAATCGAAACATAGCCTAGCCTTTTTTATGAGAAATTTTAGTTTAAGATGTAATTTAAGGGTCCAAAGAAAACAGGATGGGTAGGCTAAACTTAGACTTAAACTTAGACAGGTTCTTATTTAGACTTGCTGGTGGTAGATCGGTTGTTATGTGTGTTTACTCACCTAAAACGTTCTATAAGACATGTTTTTAAGGCTGCACTTTACTTTAGGTCCTACACAAACAACCGAATGAAAATATCGATTATTCGATTGTTTCATTTGGTATATCATTTGGTTAGTTAGGTTAGGTTAACCTCACCTAACTAACCAAACGATATATCGAATAATCGATATATCGATCGATATTTTAATTCAAATGAGTGTAGGACCTAAAGTAAAGTGCAGCCGTTTTTAAACACACCAAACACGTTCCTAGACACCAACACTACAACTTTTGTAAATGACTTTTTTGTTGCCGAGGCTTCCTTAGACCCCTACAATCGGATAGATGTATCAGCAATAAGCCCCACCATCTAGCGGACTGGTCGGAATTTGGTGTTTTGGGTGGGGGGAAAGGCTCGCTACTAGACACCTCGCTTCTAGTCTTACCGAACCGTAATCTGGACGTGGTGTCTAGTAATCTGTGTGTGGTGTCTAGTAATCTAGGCGTGATGTATACAGAAAGCCTCGGCGAAAAAAAGTCATTTGAGAAAGTTGTAGTGTTGGTGTGTCTAGAAAGGGTTAAAAAACGTCTTATAGGACGTTTTAGGTGAGTTGGGGAAAGTAAATAATAACCAACTTCTGGCCAACACTTAGACAGAGACAAGCAGACAACTATCTTTAAAAAACATGTCCAAATTTTACATGTGATATGAAGTAAATTATTATAGGCCCTACTTAGGCTAATCTTAATATAATTTTGTTATTTTTATTTCAGACTTTGAACAGATGGAGCAATTAACTTCTGATTCAATGTTAAATGAAAACTTAGGTTCAAGAAGTAGGTAAATCCAGGGCCAGAAGGTAATTTTATAGAGAAATGAGTGTTGGATCAAATAAATGGAAGTGGGGAAAGCAGGCCAGGTCGCTGGAGTGGTGTATGCAGAGAGGCAAAGTCTAGATACTGTCAGAGCGCTGCATCAGACTGTTGTGTCTCTGAGGGCAGCTTTAGAACAATCAAGATCAGAGCTGCAAGCGCTTAGACAGCAGGTGCAAGGAAAAGTTGATCCCACTGTTTATGAAAAAACAATAGAGAAATTATCATTGGAGAATCATGTTTTGAGACAAAGAGTACTTTCGTCTGAGAATGTCAGCTCTTTAGGGGTTGAAATTTCTTTACCAACCATAACAGAGCAGAATCCAAACAAGTCTATGGATTCCACAGAAAATGTAGATTCAGGAAGGGCAGAAGAGGCACAAAATGTGGAAGACGAAAATGACAGAGAAGGATCAAATAATGACCAGGGCTCTAGAGGACAAAATGGTTTAGTTGATCAGCCGTCCTTAGAGAATGGGGATGAAGCAGAGAAATCAGTGCACGATGACGGGGATCAATCGATATCCAGTGCAACGAGCAGACATGGCGCAGGAACTCCTCAGATCAGCAAGGGGGAGTCGGAGGATTCTGAAGAACTGGACGATATCGAGCTCATCTTTACTACTGACGACAAGGAGCTCAGCGGGCTACATGAGGATTTGGTGTCAATTGCGGAATCTGAAACGTGGCAACTTAAAAGAGAAGACAAGAGTACTAAAGATGTTGTTAGCAATTCAACTCTCAAGCATACGTGGACACATTCTGTGTTTGTAGAGACAGATATATCCAAGTGTGGAGTCATCGATGAAGACGAGAGTCCTCAAATATGTAGGCGTAACACTTTACCAAACGCTGTTCCTTATAGACCGATAATACACAGAGAAGCGATGACCGGAAGTAGGGGTCAGTTACTAGAACAAACTCATCATAGTCCTCGTCCTTTGCTGGTTAAGTTTTCCCAAAGTTCTCGAAGCCCTAGGAATACCAGGCCAATTTTAGCTGAAAAGAATTCAAACAAACAAGAATCTGAAGCTCAAACTGACATAACCGCTCTGCCAGCTCACTGGAGGTCTGAAAGTTTCCTCGCTCATCACAAAGTTGCAAGCAACTTCACGACATTACCTTCAAAATTTGCCATCCCTGTTAGTCACTGCCCTCCTCGAAAACAGTCGTTGAGACTTTCAGAGAAAACCCAAGAAGCCAGAAGGGTTCTCCTCTCTGATATAAATTTCACAAGCATGGTCCCAGAACTTTCTAGAAGCGCCGATCATCTTTGTAACGAAGCCATAAATACCTCAAATTTATGTAAGAACTACCCTCGGGCTTTCTCATACATGAAGAACGCTGACAGCGTGTTATCTCCAGGGTACTTAGGCCGGGTGCCTTGGTCTCCGTGCGACTGCAACAGCCAACACCCCAGTTGGGAGTACTATCAAGGTTCGCTGATGTCAATTCCTTCTCCCTCAGTGATGGATATGTCTGAGTGCTCAAGGAGAAGGCACTCGATGAAACCGTCGGTTTCTTCATTGGACGCCTCGTGGTACAGCTCTTGCAACGTTCGGCCTAACTGGTCCGTCCCGACGTCTCCGACACATTGCCGCAGATCTCGCAGTGTTCCTTTCTCAGCCTCTTACCACCAACCAGACACAAGCTGCTACAGTATGTGCTGTCCAAACAGGAGACAAGACTCTAAACTGTCAATATCTTCATCATCTAGGACATTCAGACCGCTGGCCACATCAAAAAGTCGAAGCAGAGTTACTTTCCAAGGTAAATGACATGTCACTAAGCGTATTTTGAAATTTTAATCAGTAGGCCTAGGGAGTCAAGTTATGTAACTTGACTTAAGTAATTTTACAGATGAAAAATGGACAATAATTTTTCACAAAAAAAGTCAGTCAAATTATTTTAAACCTTCTGGAATAGGAATGGAAATAGACATTTGATGATGAAAAAATTATTTCTTAAGAATTTAGTTTAATAAAGGTACGTACCACTACTTCTTGCACTATATTATTCATACCGTTCTCAACAGATCTTTTCAAATTTATTTGTTGGAATGAAATTTTTTTCTCACTGCATTTCATTATTTTCCAAAAAAAACCATACCCTTTTAATATTTTCTATTGCTCAACATAGAGGTTCTAAAAATATTAGATAACACTATTTGAACACATTAAACATTCGCAAATTGTTGACTACAGCAATTTTAACGCAGTGTTTATCTTTAGATACAATTGTTCGGCGCCCTGGTCAATCTCTACCAGATCTCCGCTTACCGCTGGAGCAAGACAGTGGCGAAGACTCTACAGATTCGCTGATTGAAGAGTCGGAAGAATTCTTGCGAAGATCCATTGACTCAATGGTGACGGGAGCAGATTATATTCAGACTGCTAGAAAAAGACGTTCGAGGAGATATTCTGAACCTTTTAAAGGTAGCCTTATAGTTTTTAAAAGTGTCATAAATGGTATGAACATGAGTTGTACATTTTAAAATGCCATTGATGTGGTAAAAACATAAATGAAGAAATAAATTGTGTCAATAATTCCCACATGATGAACAAAATTTTGTGAACATCTAGAGTATTAATCTAGAAATTTAATACATGATTTTTAAATCTTTAAAACATCTTATTGACACACAAAATATGTTTTATAAGGGGACATGTGAGCAAGCTGCATGTTCAAAATTTGTTTCAGAGGCAAAAAGAATAATAAGGCAAACCCTTTTATCTTTCAAATATGACATTATAGTAAAAAAAAAAAAAATAGAATCCACAAAAACACGATATGAGAGTTAATATACTATCTCTGAATGTTTGTTGAGACAATTAGGCATATTATAAATGACACCACTAATTTACATTCTTTAAAATACCTATGTCTATTGCAGATATAACTTATATTATAAAGAGTGTAATTTACGTACCGTACCTCAATCATGTTTCAATTATAAATAAAAATAGTCTATTCAACATTAATTTTTTTTCACAAACCGTTTAGTCTCTTTTTTACCTATGAATTTTATATAAATTAATTCTATTGAGGATTTTTCAGACTCATTTGAGCCACCGAAATCAAGTTCACCGTTCCTGGCAAAACTGCCGCGAGACTTGAAGCTAAACTACTGGGTGAAGGTGATCACCAACGAAGGTCGAGTGGTGGTGGGCCGAGTGAGGTATGTAGGACCAGTGTCTGGCCGAGGAGACGACATCTATGTGGGAGTTCAGCTGGGGAGGTCGGACGGCAACTGTGACGGATCATACGGAGGCCGACGATACTTTGACTGGTGAGGCAAACTTTCTTGCCTAGCTTTTGGTTCTATCAGAATGAAATCCAATTATATTTATTCACTATATAAAGTTTTGAACATGAATAGTGTCAATGGAGTAACTTACAATGTACTAGGCTACCTATACCACTTAAGCTCTACATGTTTTTATAGGGAATTGAAAAAAAAAAATTGGGTTGCTTAGACACTTTCAAATAATTCATGTATGCTATAATTGTTTGAGCAATTTTAATATCTTTAAGATTGTAGTTTGGCTTTGGTCTCTTTTGAGTGAGATGGACAGATTTCTCGTAGTAGTAAGTTGCAAAGACACAAAGATATTACCATAGGTATCATCGTAAGACTCAGACCCGGGACCCTTTGATCGAATTTCCCATATAGGGAACAAGCTATTACCGTAGGTCTCATGGTAAGACCTAGACCCAGGACCAATTCACTTTTTTGTTTTGATGTCCCCAGAGGCCAAAAACACAGACCGAGAAAAAATCATCCGATTTTGATGAAATTTTGTACAAATGTGTAAACTTGCATTTATTCTAACTAGTTCGCGAAATAGTAAAAAAAAAAATTATCAGACTATGGGAACGAAGTTGTGTGGTTGGTTTTATTGGATAAAAACTGGATTTTTTCATTATTGATCCACCCAAAACAAACAATTCTGCAGTTTCTTTCAAATTATTTTGTAAAGCTTAAAAATACAAATAATTTAATATATTGAATTAGGCTATGTCTAACGGTTAAGCTTAGGGCCTATAATCCCAAAAATATTGAAAACTTCCATGTTATTCTTGTTGAGAAGAAATAATTTGTTGCAGTTTGCCTGTCTATGGATGACAAGCATTATTTTGTTTGAATTTGGCAGATTTTTAAATTTCATACTAAGCTCAACATTTCATTAAAAAAATACCTTTTTGCTCCTAGCGATAAACAAGTATTTTTACTATACTGCAGAAACCTTCTAATCCTTACAAAATTAGATACGGTAACATAATTTGAGGTTGGTTATACGAAGTCGTCATCAATGTTTACATTTCTGTTGTTTACAAACATAACTTAAAATTTTATCCGATTAGCAGTGTTTTCCACAAAATTAGATAACATAATTTGAGGTTGGTTATACAAAGTCATCATCAATGTTTTCATTTCTGTTGTTTACAGACGTAACTTAAAATGTTATGTGATTAGCAGCGTTTTCATAACGTACCATAGGGCCTATACAAATCTTCAGGTTCGCGAACCGAAAAATTTACAATAGTTTTTTTCTGTTCCCTGTTTGAAGTTACCTGTAAACGATGATTTCACTAAAAACAGCTGTTTTCTGGACGCTATGATGAAAAATACTGTTGGCTCAGGTGGAAGATTAGCCCTTATTGAGTGAAATAAGTAGTGAAAGGTTCATTTGTATGTTAGTTTCAAAAGTTCGATTGGATTGAGATAGTTAAGATATTTATACATACTTATTTTTTATGTTTCAAATTTGTTGATGTCAGTTTTATTACTTCTGGTTGTGAGGATGGTTAATAAGTAGAACTACAATTTGTTGTCTTTTTAAAATATATTTTTGTTGTTTCAGCGACACGGATTGTGCGATCTTCGTACCTTTCAAAAAGGTGGTGATGGCCTGGAGTAATATGTAAGGTATAAAGCTTTATTATAATTACCTAAAGCCATGTTTCCCATGGTTATAGCTTCTACTTTGATCAATTTTAAATCAATATCGATGTTTGGTAAGCATGCACTTTGGCATTCTACCTTCTCAAATTCAACGTTATTAGAATCATTCACTGCTGATTCAGATAAATGTTTAATTTAAATAGTTTTTTACTAAATATTGCAGACATTTTATTTTTGGCATTAGACCAGGTGAATTTTTTTGCTAAGCCTTACGAACTCATGAAGAATAATCTTGTCGGCTAGCACAGCATTTGAAGTGTAAAGATAAATTAATGTAATTTTGATATTTTAATCAGGTACATGATTCAACATCAAAATAAATTTATTGATAAAACTCATGCAATTATAATTATTTAATATGAGCACTAGTCCTACATGCATAACATAAAAAATAGTACTATAATTCATAATTCAACTCACAAATTTCTTGTATCTAGAATTGATTTGATTATTGTTGAATAGCAAGATAGAGGTGATATTTAGATAGTGTTCTTGGTAGCTAGTTTTTTATATTATGTTAACGAGAGAAAAAATCTATTTAAATTACCTTTATCGTAACCTTGATTTTCAGCTACATCGAATAACGTTTTTTCTGGAATTTTTATTCACCCCCTTGGATTCTAGCTTCAAATAGTTTGTTTCTATAATGATTAAAATTTGGTATTCTCTTATTGTTTTAATGCATACTCGAACTGCAGTGTTTAAGAAATTAATTCTAAAATTTTGAAAGCTTGATTTTGTCAAAACTTACTCTGTGGATACATTAAAATGTGAACTCTTGCAATATTTATAAACTGTGCCAAACCAACTGTAAAATGCTCCCTCCATCTTCAAATTGCTTATTCTGTGACTTCACGTTTGTCCCATTTTATGAAGCCTCTTCATTCATAACTTTAAGGGTAATCTGTGTTCTGCGGGTCAATTTATTATCCTTGTGTATTGATCGTAATAATGACAAGATCTGGCTAAGTAATTGTAAGAATTTTATTTGAACACCACTGTCTATATTACAAGTCCAATCGTGCACACACCTTGTATTTAAATGTATTCTATATTCTAGTCACCCTACCATAATAAAACTATCTATAAATAATGTTGAAATATTTATGTCGGTAAACAGATAATATAAATGCAATTAGCATAGTTTTATCCAGTTAGGTGCTGTGTCACAAGTTCCTTATAACCTACAACATCTTACACGACCTATGCTCTCTTACCTCAATTTTGTTCCTTATAAGTTGTTAGCTTGATTGTTTTGGTGTTTGTATACTTGAGACGACATAAAATGTAAGATGTTTGCTCCTTGAATCGTATTATTGTCCTTCCTTTTTCAATCTTCCCAAAATTATTATTATTATTCTCCTTACATTCTTTAAATTAGGGAAGATAATCCTCCTTTTATTAAATACCTTTTTTCTTCCTTTCTGTTTATTGGGGAGTATTGACCTTCTTTTATATTTTAAATGAAGCATTATAATACTTTTTTATTTTATGTAAATTTTTTAATCATCTCTTTCCTTAAACAGCTGTACACTCCTTATATTCCATAGGAAAAAGATAATGCAAATAAAAATTAATCTTTCCTTACATTCCATGGATAAAGGGAATTGCACGATTGTTAAATGGATTGCAGTGTAAAGTATAATTTGTATTTTCAAACAATATTTCATTATTTTTGTTCTATGTATCGAGGAGTACCCTGTGTTACTCCCTAAGAAATCTTACTCTTTGCATTCCACTGATGAAGGAACATTTCATCCATTACTTGTATTTTTATCTCAAAGAATACTATACTCTATACTCCATTCAAATATTGTGCTGCTTGATTCAAATAATGAAATCATCTTGTGAAATAGTGATATGTAATTTTACTTTGTACCTATTCCAAAATACATACTCATAAAAAGGTGTTTTAATTCAAAACTTTGAGTGATGTAGGAAAATACCTATGTAAACAAATCATTCGTATGCTTGCAGTGACCTACGTAGTAGACTTGTTTGGACAAGTTTAAGTGCCAAATTTACATTCTTGCTTGTTGTCTGTCTACATGTTACATAGCTGTCAAAAGACAACTAAGATAGTACTTGTCTATCAGTTTAAAAACTATTCAGTGAATATAGAATTCCAGAATGCATCAGTCTTTTTAGCGAATAGTTCTTTATTTCTATTCCTATTTCTTTATTTTATATCCTGGAGCTTAAACTTTAATATGCAATGCTAAATGCTCTGCTTGACTGTAGAATGGTGGAATGAAAACTGTGTAGTCAGTATAGATATCCTTTAAAAACAAAAAAAAAAACAAATGTATTTATGAAGGTACATGTAGTATTTGGCATTTTTTTAGTATAACCTTTGTCTACGCACTATTGCGCTATTGCGAAATAGACAAGATGTTTTAATGTTCCTGAAGTTTTAATTAAATTAAGAATTAAAAAAATATTGTTGTTTTATTATATTTTGTGTTGATGTAAAATATTTTCTTTCTTGGAAACAAAATTTTAATTATGCCAAACCATAAAGTAAACGGTTTGTTAACTTTAATAGAACTTCAATACAGTAAAGTCCCTCTTATCCGGACTCCTCGGGACCGAGGCCAGTCCGGATAACGGATTTTACGGTTAAAGCGATGTTCCCAAAAACTTGTTAAAACTTGTGTTGAAAATTTGTAAACCAATATATAATATTTATTAGGAAACTATCTGAGTAAAAGTATCTATTTTATAAACTTAAAGCTTTGTTTACACAGAAAACCCCTTGCAAAATTAAAAATTGCAACTTCATTATCACTTAGATGAAGTAAAAATTTGTCACCAAGCCTTCAACACAGATGTACAGTACGATTATGATGTTCAGCAATTATGCATGTAATTGAGTTATGTTTTTCTTAAATATAATTTACAAAGAATAATACAGGACCGACAATAAAAGCGAGCTTAGCCTGAAAGATTGTTACATTATAATATGTATAATTGTAGCATAAACCAATAAACAGGTTGCTAATAAATATCTTTTAAATTCTTAAATTTTATCTACACTTGCTTTTCAAGACTTCTTGCCATGTACAATTCCTTCTTTCTGCATTTGACTGTTTTACCAACTGAATTTTCTCAACCCTAAAACTAGGTTGTGTATAAAGAATGAACCCTGCTTCTAACCTAGAAGGGAATATTTTGTAACTAAGACTAACAAAGATTACATGACCAAACATATGTTTAATGTATGATTGTTGCATGAATGTCTACATTATCGGGCACTTTTGTACATACACATTTTATTCACAGATGTAGCTAAAAATAATAGTTAGCCAAACTTGGTTAAGCAGTTATTTTTTTATGTTTTTCTTTTTTTAACAAAGTTGTTTTTTAAGATTGTGTCTTCATTTTCTAACCCCAACACTACAGTTTAGTAGTAATATTCTTGAGTAAAAAACTGTTTTCAATTCATGCATTGTGCAGATAATGTGCTAATTTTATTTATAGAAAAAATAAGTCAGCTGTTATAATATTGCTGTACAATGAAGCAACAAATACAATGTGTTTACAGCTGAAATTGTAATTTACTAAACTTAAAGATCTAATTTTAAACTTGTCCCTTTATCCAAAAATATTTCTATTAAAAATAACTCTCCAAAATAATCTATTCTAATAATTTTAATAGTCCACAGTAATTGATATACTGTTCAATTAACATAACACTTACACAGTGCTCCATTAAAAAAATGAGGTGCCGGAACTGTACTGCGTTTAATGTGATTTGCACCTAGATTTGTGCCAATATTTTTATCTATCCGAAAGAGAGGTCCCGCAAATCGAGCACTGCACTTACATAAAGTAAACCATAAAATGTTAAAATTTCCGTAACACCTATTTGATTAACATTACAAGGATAAATAGAAACTATTTTAGGGCAAAACTGTTTTAGTTTTTTTTTAATTAGGTGCAAATGTTGGTTACGATACTTAGAGTTAGTTTGCTAATTTTTTTTTATAATGATGAAAAAGGCCCAAAAGTGGCTGTGTGATCATTGCACATCTTCATTAAACTTAAGCTCAATCAGAAAGCTAAACTTTGGGACCTAGCAATAAAGTATACTATTGATGGGAGAGGTTATTGTTTAGCAAAAAATGTTAATGGCTGTATTTAACCATAATTCCTAATAAATCTGATTTCTGAGAAGGCAAAACATATTGTGAGATTTCTGACATACAAAAATTCATAATTTTACGATACTATTCATTTGATTTAAAAACTTTCACTTTTACAAATGTTTAAAGATAAGTAAAAATTTCTAACTAACACAGATTTTAAAATACAAACCAACTACAATGTTCTATAGGCTACTGTTTAGGCTTTAACAGATTTTTTAGTAAAATAAAGCTAAAATGTTTTACGTGTTGGTATCCACTTCCTAAAACAGTGCCTAAAATTTAAAAGTATTTTAACTAAAAATTTTTTTTTATTTGATGTAATTAACTATAGGTAGTTATTAAACTATTCTTAAAGGACCATAGAACATTTTTGTGGGACTAAGCCATTGCAGCAATAAAATATATTTTTGTATACAGTACCATATCTTATGAAAGACTTGAATGTTTATTTTATTCTTTTGTTTTATTAATTTTATTTTAATGTTTTCCTAGCTTTTTAAATGTTGTTTGTTTTCCTATATTTTTCTATTTTGTTGTTGTTCTTTTATAATATTTGCTTTATGTTTTTATGTTACATATTTTTTTATATCGATATTACTTTTATTTAGTATTACATATTTGTAGGTTTTAGTACAATTATTGCATATCATTTAGTAAATCCTAAACTAGGTCTTTTGTACAGCACTATTGAATGTCTGTTTTAACTGTGTTAATTTAGTCATATCGTTACTTAGACAATTACAAATCTGTTAATAGTTTAATTAAATAATAATATTTAATCTGTGATTGTTCATTATTTTGAACATGCAATTTTGACCGGTTCTAACATTGCGGTTAAAATGCCCTGTTTGGCAGACGACATAACCATAGAATTCCCTAACCTATTATACAGTTCTCTACATTTGAATACTGTTAGTAGTTTCTGGTAGTGTGGATGTTGGTATTGTTATCAGTAAAAATCTAGATGTCAAATTACTTTATTTTTACTCATTCTACTCGGTCAACACAACTTTTTATTATACTATTCTATTACCTAAGTAGTCGGAAAAGGCTTTTTCATTGACCTTTTTTATTAGACTCGAAATAGTGTATTTGTTCACCGTCCTTGCTGTAATAGGCCTAATAAACTATGTAAAATGAATGGGGTCATTGTGAATTTGTAATGTTTGGAATTAAATTATTTTGTCCACTATCAAGTGGATGTTTTAGTTGCCCAGTCCATGTTGAGCAACAAAATCAAAATTGGTAATAAAGGTTTCAATGTGACCCGACTATATTGTATTGTACTAACCCAATGTTGTACTGGTATCTGTTAAAATGTATTCAACCGTAATATTAACCTTCTGCTGATCTCTGTATATAAAGGACACGTTAGACTGACTATTGTTTGTACTACCTGTCATATTTGTATTACCTAGCAATGGAATATTTGTAAATGTGGCTATAGCTAAATAAAGTACCAACATTTTATTGAATATTAGTTTCTATTTAGTCAACGCATTCACCCAGCCCCACTGTGTTGTAGGTTGGACGTTGTCCATAGACAGTTGAATCTGCTGATCTGATTTGAACCCTCAATCAACTGTTCTGTCCTCTGGCCAGGGACACATTGCCTTAAACCAACACTCAGCTCAAGCATAGTACTGTAGTTCTAAACTGGACTTTGCACGTCACAGCAAGAGCCAGTTAGCCTTAATAGCTATTAGCCGTTTTTTTTTAGTTTTACTCATTTAAGTTATGTAAGTCTTGCATCTGATGGATGGTTACAGCTCAATGTGTTAACCTGAATGATGGGGAGGTTTGGTTACTCCCCCAACCCAACCACCTCTTGATTTAATTCAGCTGTCACTGTGTTTTGAGTTTTACCTCTGACTTGAGGCTTGTTTACCCTCGAGGCTAGAGTTACTTGTAAGCTTAGTCAACCCAGAGGCACGGTTAGCTGGGACCAACCATGCCGCCTAGTTTAATTAAACTGTGTACAAAACAAATTATACTAAGATTTAGTTGGCAAAAAATTAACTGAATATGTAAAAAATACTTTACTAATCAATAACAATTGGTCACTAATGGTCGGTTTTGACTGGGAAGTCAGCATACCAGCCGAACGCCCCGTGATGTCCTGTGTGCGCTCCGTAGTCTACGTGTTCATGGTGTCCATGAGCTTGACGTTCCACTCGACCATCCTAAGAACATATGTTGGTTTTGGATGGAATTTTTGACAACTCAATGTAATGTGTAGGTCTGAGTGGAGTTAAAAAAGGGGTGATAAGTTAAGGGTTTGTTTTGGTTGGAGTTTTCTACAACTTGTATGAGCTGTGTGGTTCTGGAGTTTAGAAGAAATTAAATAATCAGCTACATGGTTTTCGTACTCTCCTACCAACTTTTAAGTCAACTTGGTTAAACAGGGGGGGGATGGGAGGGATATATCCCTCTGAAATATCAAATACGTATAAAAATAGATTTTTAGGCTTTAAATTCCACATTTATTCCGGGGGGGGGGGACCCCCGGACCCCCTTTTTTCTGGGGGAAATTCCATACCCCACAGACCAAGGTGGTCATCCCCCCCCCCTGAAATGAAATCCTAGGACCACCACTGGGTTAAAACAAGTTGAAATTAATTTTTAGGGTTTCTGAGGGAATTCTTAATGTCTTTTTATGTTTGCCTTACCTTAAATAAATAAAATGTTTGTTGTGCCTGAAATTAACATTTTGTTAAATTTTTAATGAAGAAGGATCACCTTTCGCCTTTCATATTGTAACACTAATTTTTATAATGGTTTCCAAATGTTATGTCCACAGGATTTGACTTCTATGAAAACTATGTTGAAACAATTTTTCTTTGTGGAAAGTATGTAATTCAATCAATGCCATTCAAATACTAACCATTAGCCATTGGGGGTTTGGAGTAAAAATTTAATGGTTTCTCAATCTTTTAACAAACTAATTTAGTGTAAAACCTTGTTACAATTTATGTGAAGTATAACCATACTTGTGAAATTAGTGATACTTGTACATTTTTAAAGTTTGTTTATTGGTAATAGTTTGGGATTTGTTTTTCATAAATAATTATTTAACAATATGACAGCAATTGTAACTGACATAAAATATTTAGTTACTACAGATTACTTTTGTCCATGATCATCCCTTTACACAAATGATTCTGACTTATGATGAATTCATTATTTTCAAACAGTCATTGACGTTTCAGCGCTCTAGTTAGTTAATAAAGTTGATATAAAATTCCTTATGTACTCAAATTCAATCTCAAAGCTAACAAGTCATCACGATACCTTCTCGTGAGTCACAAAACACAACAAATCAAGCAAACTATTCTTCCTTACTCCTACTTCAAATCATTTCTTGACCAGAATCATTATTTTTTTATGAAGATTCCAAATTTGGTCCTAGTAAATTTGACGATAAATTTAAACTCATTATTCTATGATTATTCCTTCCACTGACCTGTTCTGGAGCCTGGTCCCCGGTTTCACCAAGCCATGCTTGTCGAGCCACTCTATCCGCTCTCCTCACCGGACCCCACCCCCCCTCCACCACCTCAGTGTCGTCCAGGGGGATGACAATGTACCTAGGACGAGCTGACACAACCACGTACATCATGGCTAGGCACAGCAGCATACTCATCTGGAAATTGAGCAGTTTTTCAACCATTTGCTGAAAAAATGTACAAAACTTACAATAATAGTGTCAGCTTATAAATAATAGACAACATTACCTGTGTATGTTGCATAAACTATATCTGCATAATCGTGCATAGGATATTGTGGTGTATTGTAGGATACAAATAACCCTAAACCAAAAAACAAAAAATAAGGAAAATAAAACTATCTACAGTTTTATACTGTACGTTCATTAACAATTCATCAATAGAGTAGATGGGCTTTTCTACCAAATATTCATTGAGTATTTGTCTAAAAATTTTAATAACATTAATATTTTTATTTATTTAGGTATAACTTTAAAAACTATACCAGAGTATGAGGGCTTGGTTTTGAACATTTCTAGGTTGTGATTCGGTAAAACTTTACTATTTTTTATTTGGTATTGAATTTGTGGGTTTCACAATGTAATTTAAAATTGTCCTGATTATTTTTTACATGTATGATACATTCTAGATCCGGTACGTACAAACTAAACACCATTAAGATGTTTAAATTGACAAAATGTTGCTTTACAGATTCATTATATACTAGATTGAACATTGTTCTTATTGCCTTTTTCTATAAAACAAGTATCTCATCTACATTTTCCTGGTAAAAGCCACCATACACTGCTATTCCATAAGGTATATTATGTGATTGGATATGGGAATGAAAAATTATTTTATGTTGATAAATCACAAAAAAAAAATTAAAGGCATGGTTTCCAGAATTTTCCTTACATACAATGCTTTCTACATGATTGATCCCAATTAAGACATTCTTCAATATGGATACCTAAAACTTGTGTACAATTAATTTTATTTATTGTGTTGTCAATAAAAATATGAGGGAAGCACTTATTTTGTGCTGAATTATATAATTTATTCATTTGTAACAGTACAGTAGGTCTACTTGTCAAACTTGATGTTATTTAAGGTATTAAATTGTTAATTAAAAAAAAAAAATTAGTTAAAACCAATCAGGCAATTGGAAATCCGCTTAGTTTGCAGGTTTGCTGCATTGGGGATATTTTTACTTCTCTTTATATAATTTTTAAGCTGTCATTTTGCTGAGAGGAGTGATGAAATGCTACCAGCGAGGAGGCGTGTCCTTGAAACAGATGTTGAATTAAGCAAATTTGAGACTAAGGTGATCTCTACACGCAACCCTATCATGCCACCTTAATCTTCTGTTTACCTACTGTTGTGTGAAAAGAACATTTCTTACCATTGTTGTTCTTTTTCAATTGATATTGTATTTTGGAGAATCTTTTTGTCTTTTAGAATATACAAAATTACTTTGTAAATTGTAATATTTCAAGCAAACTTTTGGATAAGAAAATATTTTACATTGTACCTATTTAGTTTAACTTTGAAGTAAATTGAGATAGTGCAATTTTTGATCCTAGCGATTGTAAAAGGATATAAGGCAAAATAAATAATTTATTTAGTTTGTGATAACTTTTTATAACTTGTCAAATTATGTAGGTTATAGTTTCTCTAATGCTGTACAGAATGTAGTGAAACTACTGGATTTTAGTGTTAGAAAAACTGAGTTTGAAATTGATAGTCAATATTTTTCAAAAACCTCAGCCAAACATTATTCGACTATTATAAAAGTACATACTATGGGTAATTAAATTCTCCCGACTTTTTGAGGTGAATGATGCTTCTGATAAAAAATAAAGCTTTTATATTTTACAATAAAATAAAAAAAATATTAATGCTATTTCTGTGTAATGTACAAATGAAAATCAAAACTAAATAGACACACTTTCACCTTTTCTGAGATTAAATAAACAATTTGTACTTACTAGCCTAAACATCGTAGACCTTCAAACAAGAACAAACGCCACAAACACACAGACAGACACTTTATACCTCTTGTCTGCTTTCTCCCATCTTCTTATGAGACATCACAAAACCTAGCGAAAGTTCATTTTGTGGGTGACCAAGCACTCTCTTTATCTGTGGTAATGAGAAAAAACCGTGGCATCGGTTAGGAGCATATAAATGTCAACTAGCAGAGCATGATGAAGTTTTCAGTCACCAAATAATTGAGTAGTTTGTATTCAGTTGTGTAGTAAAATATGATTATGTTTTATTTAGAGGAAAAGTAAAATTGTATCAACCATATGATGACATTTTAAAACCCCCTACAACAACTAGCTCAAATACTTATAAAAATACGGCTTTAATGTGGTGCATTTTTCTTCTTATGCTTGCTTTTCTCTTGAATAAGGTTTCCAGAACATCTATTGTCTTGTTATTCTTTAAGAGTTTGCTGGATGTAATTTTATTTTAGGCTCCTCAGTAGCCCATTGTACATTATATAAAATATTTATAAAATTTTGTTATAGGCCTATTATAAATCCTATTATATACAGAGTGTTTTAAAACGCAATAAGTTGGCAGCCATGCTGAATATATACTTCTTTAAAAGTTAGCTGATATGAATTTTAGCATTTTTATCTACACAGTTAGTGGGAATTTATTGTAAATACATTTTTTTTAAATACAATTCATGTTTAAGATTGAAGATAATGCACATAATGGGAAAAAAGAATTGCACCTTATCGAGTTTATACAGCATGCAGTTGATTTATTAAGCACTGGACTCTTCAAAAAACTTAATTGCACACATTCTCACCAAAAATGTACAGTTTAGGTATCCTACTTTTGATGTATGCTTCTACAATATCATAGATGCTCTTTATGCTCTTTTTTATTATGAAAAAAAAACATGTTGAGACTTAATCACAATAGATTCCCGTTACAGTATCACCATTGACTATTGGATACTGAAGTAGGTTTCCCATCTATATGGACCAGTTGTTGTTTTTTTTTTTTTTATTTTTTTTTATGAACTTAGTTGTGTGAGCCAGTCACAGAATGTACTAGTGTCTAAAATTCTATCTTTTACCTGATTTATTGTTAGTGACATAGTTGATGGGTCATAACAGTTGCTGTAGCTCACAATAAGCCAATTGGTTTGGCTTGGTAAAAAGGTTCGTGTATTCGACAGAAATTAGTCAATTTTGATCAGGGCTGTCTGATGGTGGCTCACATTCAATTAAGACGATTTTCATAAAAAGACTGTTGACCCCTTTAACTTGGGGATGGATTGTCTAGTTGTATCAATAGTCAAAAAGGCTTACTAAGCAGTATAGACAACAATGCTAAAATTCATTTCATCTGATCGGCAATGAAGTAAAAGAAGCAGGGGTACCAACTACTAACATAATATGTTTACATAGTCCCTAAACAGTGCATCCCTGTTTCGTGTTGTAAAAAAATAGCAAAAAAACAGTATATTTATTTTATTATGTTGTTTACCTTTTGATTGCCAGGTTCTTTCATCAAGAACCTGGCAATCAAACGGTAAACAACATAATTAAATATTTGTTCTTGAATCTGGGAATACCACATAAATATATTTATGTAATATATGCCTATTCCTATTATATAATTATTTAGCTACATTATAGCTGATTGGTTTTAGAGCTCATCTGACAATTAGAAGGTTGCCGACTTAACGAGAAAAAAAGAGGTGTTGTCCTTGACACCTGTGCCCAGCTGTCCTTTATCATTGGGCTTTATTTTGGGACAGGAATGGTCTGAAGAAATTACTTATCTTAAGCCAGCAACAAAACTACATATGGCATCTGACTGCATGGTGAGTGTAAAATTAAATCGCCTAAGTGATCATCAGTGTAAATTATGCACCTACGTGGCGTTGCTCTCTCAAAAATAATGATAGTGACAAAACTGCAGCTATTGCATCGATTGCACCAACATTACAGTATGAAAAGGAATAAATAAATCAAATTATGAAAAATAAAAATAAATTTATTAATCAAAATTAGTACTTACAATAAAAGTTCATCTGTAATATTTTAATAGCTTAACCTTACAAGGGTAGTAAGAGCGTTTTTACATCACGCAGGTGAATGTTGTGCATAATTAAACCGCTCGTTGCATAATTAACCTAAGTGATGTAAACATGCTCTTGCGTAACGTGTAACGTACAAGATTTTACCTGACCCGACAATATACAGGAGGTTACGAACAATATTTTTCATTGACCATTTCACTCATCTTCTAACAGTAACGTTAATTTACAAACAAAAGCTAGGTTAGGAAAATTATTAAAAACATAACAATAATATTCAAGCGCAAAGCTGATTTCTAGCGTTGAACCTGAACGTCGTTGGCTCCATAGAGGTATATTTTTTAAGAGCACTCAATGTTATTTAAATGGGGGAGTTTAACATGGCGAGTTAGGTAAAATTTGTTTATTTATTCAATTTTGTCTAGAATAATCCATCCACAGTATACTAGCATAAAACTGACTCCCTTGTGTTGTTTAGTCTATGATACTAGCAAATTACAATATACTGTATGAGGGGAAAAACATCAGTTGCTACAATTAATTGAGCAAAGATTACACTGAAGATTACTCGATAATCGAGTGAAATTGCCGGGTAAAAATTTCCGTCATAATAAATTATGTTTTTAGGAAAAGCATTTAGCTTGGATTAAATAAATATATAGGATGGAGAGGACACCGCTAACTCACTTGATGAAAGGGCCGTCATCCTATTTTAAACTGTTGTTCTTGTAACTGCCATCTCGGCCTACTTCTGAAGAAGCCTCTGAAAGAGGCGAAATATCAAGTATTATTATGTGTGTGTTTTATGTGTTCTTTGACTCAACTGCAACCTTTCATCAGGTGAGTTAGCTGTGTCCTCTCCATCCTATCCATCATAATAAATTGAAATTCTACTAAAACTTAAATAATAAAAGCCAATACAGTAGTAAATGAAACGAGAGTTTCCTTTATGTTGCTATTACAATCGAAATAAACTATAACGAGCCCTGATAATATAATCATATTATGAGTTTAGATTGTTGGCCTACACAATCAATACTTCTTACTTACAAAGTAATAATGGCAAATAAATACATTTAAATCTATAAACAACTACCAAGATCACATAGTGGTATAAACATTGCTAGAAGAAGTCAAACCCATAGAACAACTTTATTAAATGTTTAGCTTTAACATTATTATAAATTTCAAGGATGATTCAAATTGATAAAAAAAAGTCTTAGAAGAGTCAACAAACAATTCTAATATTTTTGTAAAAACATTATCGTCACCTCAGCTTAGACATCTTAAATTACAACTTTAATTTAAGAAAAAATTTCAAATAATAAAGTTTTGAGCTTGCCAACGCCTTAATTTTTGACACATTTTTATGATTAAAGTGTCAAATTGCTGGAAATGTTGTCAAGATTTCAAAAATATCGGTTATATTGACCTTAGCTGGATAGGCTTTACCACGTTTAGAATTTATTTTTCATACAAATTTACATGTATTTCTTATGGTAGTATTTGAAGTAAACAAAATTCTGTTTTGACAGAATAGCGTTCAGAATTTAACACTAATGCTTCAGGGCGTATAAACAACAAGAGGGCGTGTTGTTTTTGTTTATAACTAATTGTAAAATTGTTTCAATTTGTAACATGTCCTTAACACCCAACCCAAACAACAATTATGAAACTTGATATTACAAGAAAAATATTAGTACAAAATCATGAATAATTTTACTATAACATTATTTGTAAAATTAAATTTACTCCATATCAACGTAATGGCATTTTATTATCACTACTAAAATTGCTCTAAAAAAATTACAATGTGAGATCACTACAGATATGGTACAATTGAATTAATTGAACAATTGTGTACAATTTAAGTACTAAAGGAGAAGGCACGATAATCACACTAAATTAATAAATTACAAATCGTAATTAAATTGCTTTTGATTAAAAGTAAATGACAATAAGTCATGACGATGGCATCAATAAACATTTGTACTGATTTCCTACTTTTGAGGAAAACAACATCTAACCCATCTACAACGGTTGGTTTGTTCTTTAGAGGTTCAAGTAATAATTGAGTACACTACCACATTGATATTAATTTATAAAACTGTATCCTAATGTTAAAAAAGCCTGAAATATTATATTGCTACACTAATTGATTAGGTTAATTATTTACATTGCTTTGAACTTTATAAAAAAAATTAACCTTTAACATTCAAATATAAATATTGAGCTGTTAAAAAGGGCTAGTTAGTATAAAGGTACTCCTAGCGAAATCATCAAATATGGCACCAACACCAAACAAATTTTAAAATTCAATGCTGACAACAAGTCTACGTACAAAAGTTTATTATTTATAATATTTACTTAACTATTGAACGAAATAGATCTTTATCTACATAAATATACAAATTCAAAAACTTAACTCTTATATTATATACATAAATCAGTAAACTACAGATTTAAAGATAAACAGTTTTATAAAAAAAAATCAAAATCAAAACTGTAACAGGAAATAACCGCAACATCCTTATGTACATGTTTTAAACATTACAACCATTTTCCTTACTTACCTATCCACATACAAACTAGGCCTATTAGTTAACAACCAGTAAATGGAACATAAGTGTAAATAGGGGTAGAAAAATACAAACACATTTTAATTTAAACTATTAAAAATGGCTGAGGTTAAAAGTTATTGAGTTCGCTTCAAACTATAACCACACCAAATGTGGGTGATGTTCAATGATATTTTGATGAAATGAATTCTATATTATTATACTTATCCCTTTAAACGGTTTTTGATTGCTTATTGTTATATCCTGTATCTTTGTTATCCTGGTTTCTATGTCACTTAGGTTTTTAATGAAAAATGAAACTAAGTGAAAGCGGTCCAAACCCATAAAATATTTTTTTGATTATGCTGGGAAAATGGAATCTGTCCCTCCCGAACCAGAGTTGGAGACAGTAACCGATAGACTACATCACTTTTGCTGTATGTTAGATTAAGAGGTTTTACACGTCGTTATTTTATCATACCATATTTCTGTGAAAAATGTTGACGATTGGTTGGTAGCCAACAGAATATGACCCAAGTAAATTTCACCAAAGAGTTTTTCAATTCTTGGACTTAAACACTTAAAGTTTAAAACGATCTAAAATCAACTGGACGTTATAATAAACAAGATCAACATTATTAGGTCATTGACTCTGTGTCCGATACTATCTCCGGAGGTTCTGGACTCTGGAGGAAGGGAGTGCTTGCTCCAGATCTACTCCTGACACTCCCGTTGCGGGATAACTCCTCCCGGACAGCAAACCCCTGCTTCACCAGCTCCTCGGTGATGTTTATGTCCTGAGAAAAAAAGGATCAACACTTAAATTGTGCACATGAAATTAAAACCGAACGTAGGATAATGGCTGTTATAATTTCTTTATATTGTAGGAAAGGCGGGCCTGGTACTTTCCTGTTAAAGGGAACATTCATTATTATCGATGATTTTTTCTCGATATATCGATATTAACAAATTGAAACATATCAGCTGACAACTACGATAAATATTTTTCAGTATCAACAAACAATAATGAAATGAAACTGTTCTAAAAAAATAACCTAAACTTGCTGTGTAACTTTCCATGTTTATCTTGCCTTTTCTATTATCAAAAGGAATTTTTAAATAGTACATCAAGTTTGGTTGGTTATGTTAGGTTAGCTTAGAACAGTTTCATTTCTTAATCCATATAATAGACTATTTTAGCCTAAACAAGATCAGTTGTCAATATGTAATGGATCGGTAAACAAAAATATCGATATATCGAAACAATCATCGATAATAATGAATGTTCCCTTTAACAGGAAAGTACCGCGGGCCTTCCTAAATAGAAAAGCCATCCTAAAATAATAAACACAAATCAGAATATTTAACTGTTGATGAAAACATTTTCACCCACAAAAGGTACATTGAGATAAAAAAAGGACTAAAATACCGATGCATTATTCTTTGACATCTTAGAAATAAAATTAAAATTCACGTTAGCATTGCAGCACTGATTGTGTATTGAACATTATATCATGGTTAGCTTTGTGCAAAACATGATCTTGATAAACAATTCTCCAAAAACGGTAATAATTTTTATTTATCTTACAATTGGATTACTCCCATTATAGGATATTTTTGATACACTGACTTCGATACGGTACCTTCAATGACTTATTACTTTTGACTATGGGGGAGTAATTCAAAAGACAATACAAAGCAGATCCAGGCTGTTTTTTTTTAATTGTAAAATGAGTTTTTTTTTCAGTAACTGCAGCCAACTACAAGAAAACTTTAGAGTGCACAATGCCAAGTAAAGGAATCTAGATTTTTCTTTATTCAGCTTTGATGTCACTATGTAAAATATAATTCTGAACACTTTTAACAGAAAACTGTCCAAGACCTTGAAATGTTTTTAGAACACACTGCTCTACACATACCTCTGATCCACTAGTATCGTAAAGGTTGACGCTAGGTACTGGACTGCCTTCTCTACGACCTCTGGGGACATTGTCACAAGATACGACCTTGGCATTCAGTAGCTTCCACTGAGCTACATGAGCCAGTTCTTCAAACAAATCCACAGCCTTTTCACTCCACTCCTCTCCGTCACTGCCAGGCAAAATATTAAACTAACATAATTGGGAATAATGATGTAACGTAAGACAAATAAGCTTTGGTTTTAACAAATTTTTCGTCATACTGCAGCAAAAACAGCCGTTTTTCATGCAAGCGTTGCAGATCTACTCTCTAGATTTAGGCTACTCTCTAGGGAGTAAAAATCATTTTTAGTCTCTAGGGAGTAAAAATTATTTTTAGTCTATAGGGAGTAAAAATCATTTTTAGTCTCTAGGGAGTAAAAATCATTTTTAGTCTATAGGGAGAAAAAATCATTTTTAGTCTATAGGGAGTAAAAATCAGCTGTTGTAAACAGTTGTAAATTTTGATTGTAGCAATCATATCGATTGAAATTATTTATCGCTTGATTTATTAGGTTAATTAATGATGCAATATGACGAAAAAAATATAGTTCTCCACACAGGCTAAAAGTGAATTTTTAACCCTCACTCATTTAACTTGACCTCAAATCAAAAAGAAAGTTTTTTGTGCCCAGATTTTCAGGATAAATCATTTAATTTTTTAAAGATAAGTTGTAGTTTATAGAGAAGTAGCTGTAGTTTGTTTTTTACTAAAAGCATTTTAAAAAGAGATTGCAAGATTTGAAGAGAATTAATAGGGTGTCCATTCAAACTTAAATTAACAGTTTATATAGGGATTTGCAGGGTCATATTTGGAAATTTTTCATGACGTTTTTAATCACGTTTAAGGTACCTAAACATAATCACGGTGGTCTAACAAGTAAATTTTATGTTAGGGATGGTAATAAAGTACACTCAATACAACCTAATATTTTTAATGATATCACACATCCTCACACAAGCAACTGGATTTCTTAAACAAAAGCTTTACTAGAAGATAGCCCATGCACTCAGGAGTAACATTCAAATAAGTATGTTCTTTTCTTATATTTTAATTTAGAGCCTCCATCCCAAGACTTTTATCAAGTTTAAAGAAAATATTTTGCTGAAAAGTATCTGTTGCAACAATATAAGAGTAAACGATATAACTTGTGATATTTTTAGGTTTTCTAGTTAATTTTGTTGATCAAAATTAATCAACAAAACAAACAAATTGAAATTAACAAACAAACAATAACAAAGGAAATTTTTTATTGATTAAAAAAAGCAGACTTTTATTTTTTTCTCTGCTTTTTCACCTAATTGCAAAGCAAGGACAAAAGTAATAAATTTACTAGTCTTAGTGATTACATTTATTTATTAAAAAATATATCAGTTATAAAATTAAAATACAGTTGATTCTGGCAGGCAGTAACACTTATTTAAGGATATTAGTACAAACAAATCCGTGGACAAAATCCTATAAGTATTGAAATTGTTTACGCAGGCAACATGGCAACTATTGTATTTTCTCAATCTAGAATACTACAATGAAATAAAGGAATTGATGGATCCCTTGCTTGTAACACAACTCAGTGACTTTATTGACAAGTGAGAACGTCTGTGGTGACTGATGTTGTCTCGGCATGCGACTCTCGGCAGGATCAATAACATTATAAAACTCATATTCCAATAGTGGGAGAAGATAAATCATACCATCCAAGTCACTTGTAGTGTACAGCATTATGTTTTGATTGTTCTTTCACCATCATAATTTCTCCCTTACTGTTTTACCAAATAATTGTTTTACCAAATAAATGTTTTACCATTGTCTCCTTTCCATTTAACAGTCAATAATACAATTCAGAACACAAAAAGAAACAATATTTAAACCCTATAGTTAAGATACAGGTGTTAACATTCAGTATCATGACAAAATCTAATGTGTTGGTGTTATTCTCAAAATTGTGGGCGACTGGGAACTTTTAGAACGACGGGAGAGGGGAGAGGGGAGAGGGGTCAAATTAAAGGTCTCTATCCTGTGAAAACGGGAAGAATAGTGGAATTCCCAAAATTCTATCATAAAATTAGATATAGCGTAAATGTGCCCCGTAAGAATAGCATTAGAAGCCATTTACAGGTGGTTTATGTTTACTTCAATACAGCTGATAGTGATTTATGATCAAGCCAGTAAGCAATATTAACATTTGAATTACTAATTTGCCAGGCAATTCTGAAATGTACTGTACTATATAAAACCAGGGATAAAGTTACCTACAATTCAGCCATTTTCGTTAGGCCTATGTCTTAGAATGTAGAAATGAGTTATTTTACTATGCAATTTTCAAATTTTTGTATTTTAATGTAAATTAGTTAAGCGTATGATAAGTATTACAAATCATGACAGATGGCTCAATTCAAAGGAATTGAACTGAGAATGGCTGAAAAATAATGAAGTTAGGCTACAAACATTTTAATAGAAAATTTGCTAACAAGTTAAATATTTGTATAACTGAGAATAACTATTAAAATATTTTATAAAGATAAATTTTGATTATGAGTTTCTTTAAATACTATTTATTACAATAATGTGTTTTACATTTGAGCTTTTTAGGGACTTTCCTACCAGCAACTAGTAATTTATTATTTATTTTAGTTCAAGTATTAAAAATTTTCAATAATATAAATCAAAATTATTTTGATGTTAATTAATATTCGTAATCATTCTCCCAACAGGGAAAATGGATTTTAGATTTAAAAACAAATGAAAACTAAAGCACAGACAAAACAAATTTATAAATCATGATTATACTTTTATCATTGCTACTGCTACTATTATTTTAAAGTGATTAATAAACGAATAACATTTAAAATTGAGGATATTTTTAAAAAGAGAGAGATTTAGTTAGTTAAACAATGTTAACATAAGAAAATTAAGAGTCCAGGGGCTTACAAATACACATCTATAGATTATAGAGTAGCCTAAAGAATCTACTATAAAAACCCAGACTAGTCCGGGTGAACAAAATGTACCCCTTCTCTCAAAATATAACTTTAAATTTATTTCAATAAAATAATGTGCAACCTGGGTTACTTTCTAATCCTTCTCCTAGATTATTTAAAATAAAATATCTCTGATAGTATATTTCTCAATAATAATGTTTTTTTATTCAGTAAATTTTACATAATTAAAATGATGGGGTTATAAGAGCAGACTTGTAAAAACTAAAAACATTCTTCAATTGTATAGTAGGCCTAAAATCAATTTTAAACCAACTCTAGGGACACAACTTCAACCTTTGTCCTTTGGTTCAACAATCTATTGATCATAAGAAAAACTACATGGTTGCTGGTGCTTTGACAAGGCTTAAAAGTCTTTGTTCCCGCTCGGCACAATTTGTACTTTGATAGCCCATTACGCACTTACGGAAACAGTAGGCTGGCACGTGATAAGGTTGCATGCAAACCTACAGGCGTGCCTGCCATTGTGAAATTGTAATTAAAACTTTGAGCTGATAATCAATAGACACACTCAGCTACATGTGCACAACTATCTGCCGTCTGTAGCACGCAATCATCATCTGCGAAAGCAAACTTATCTTAACTAGGACAGAGGAAAATTCTTCAATATTTTTATAAAATAAAGTGTAAAAATATAACAAGGAGATATGGCTAACAATAAATAATATTTTAGTCAAATGTACAAAAAATTGCTATGCTTAGCGGTATTATTTGGGCAAGAAAGAGAACAATATTTTAGGACCGCTCTTACCAAAAACATTAAAAATACCAATGGCATAGAAACACAAAACAACATTCTTTGTTTAGCATATTGGGGTACAGCTCCCTCCTAACCCCCAAAACCTTTCCCAGGGACGAAGGGCCTGTTTAAAAGATTCATTTATTTTGTTTATAAGGTCATAAAAGTTAAATTATAATTATAAATGTTTAATGTTATTTTAAATTACAATTTTTACAAATTTATATTTTTACAAATTTATATTTTCTATATATATAGAAGTTAACAGGCTTAAAAAAAAAAAAAAAATTGTTTCTCATTATTTCAGTCAAGGATATTCTCAGAATTGAAATAGACAGCAAAACAATATTTTCGGGTCAGATGACCTTGACCAAAGGACACTCTCTGAGTATACCAATAATGTTCCCCGAGCAAAGCTTGGTCCCCAGGTACTTGATTTAAAATGGATAACACAATATTCTGATTTGAGACAATCACAATAACTAATGACAGTGCAAATTAAGAAGCATAGTTAGAAAATATTAAACAGTGATTCTAAACATTGCAACTGAGGAAACCAATCAATAAAATAATTCTCATTAACTATCAATTATTCGCCAAGACAGCGATACACACTTGCTTGTTTAAGCTAAATATATGAATGCAAGGTGAGTGTAGAATGGAGTAAGATGATCTGTCTAGAGATGTACTTAAGAGCAACTGTCATTAGTTCAATCGCATCTCAACTGAACTCTCAGAAGGGTAACTCAAAACATTCCCAGGTGTCTATGGAGGTTTCCTGAAATTTCACACTGATTGGGTAGGCGGTTTAATTAAAGGTCATGAAATGAAAAAGGGCTTTTTTCCAACATTCTCAAAACAAATTTCAAGTTTGTTCCACTGAAAGAAAATAAGTACTACATCAAATTCAGTACACCACGCAGGGAACGTGCCTACTCTCACGGTAGTCAGTTCTGCACACCATACTTTTGCAGAAATTGGATTTTTATGGTATAAAACACCAGGAACAAAATTTTTTTAAACCTACCTTTGTGGCAGACAACAATATGTAGCTTCCGGCAAACACCAGCTTTTAAAGAGGTTCTTGCTGGGGTGCCACAGGGGTCAGTACTTGGGCCAGTATTGTTTATGTTATATATTAATGATTTGCCAAATGCTATGCCTTGTAAAACAGCTCTATATGCAGACGACACATAGTTTGTTTGGCCTTCTGACGATTTTAACACAGCAATCCAATATATATCAAGCACAATCACAGCAATCAAGGATATTAACTGCATACCTTGTTTGGATACTGCATCCAAGTTAGTAAATAATTTTATGATTAATCAAAGAAATAATTTCAAATTCAGACATGTATCTGTATCAGAAATTAAAACTACGATAAAAAAATTAAAAAATAAAAAATCTGTAGGATGGGATGGGATTTCAGTTGAAATAATAAAAAATATTATGAACTTTATAGCGGAGCCACTGTGTCTGATTTTAAATCAATGTTTTGATGAAGGAATTTTTCCATACCAATTAAAAAATGCTGAACTGAAACCACTTTTCAAAAAAGGTTCAGTAGAAAACCCAGAAAACTATCGTCCGGTGTCAATTTTACCATCTCTATCTAAAATTTTTGAAAAAATAGCATATGAACAAATGTACTCTTTTTTTGAAAACAATGATCTGTTTACAGATAATCAATTTGGCTTTAGATTGGAAAAAAACACAATATCAGCTGTCTCTGATTTCATAAATCGAGTGTCGGAGGGCTTGGATGGATCTCAGAGTACTGCAGCAGTGTTCTGCGATCTTTCCAAGGCGTTCGATTGTGTGAACCATAATGTATTAAGCAATAAACTTAAATATTATAACTTCTCTGATCTGGCACTGTCTTGGATACAATCTTATTTAAGAAACAGGCAACAAAGAACTGTCATTAAGAAAAATGGTAGAAATTTCATTTCAAAATGGCAAACCATCAATTGTGGTGTACCCCAAGGATCAATTTTAGGTCCCTTGTTATTTTTAATATTCATTAACGATGTACCTAACAATGTATCATCAAACCTAATATTATATGCTGATGACACTACAGCCATAGTAAAAGCAAAAGATGTACATACTCTTAGATTAGAACTTGATCAATCAATTGTAGACTTAACTAACTGGTTTGCGGCAAATGGTTTAAAACTTAATAATGCTAAAACACATATTATGCAATTCCAAACACTACAAAATAAGCAAAACATAATTTTTGAATTACCGTACAAAAATGATATTTTAGCTTTTGTTGAACAAACTAAATTTTTAGGCATAAATATTGATAAAAATTTGACATGGAAACTTCACATTGAAATACTAGCTAAAAGATTACATACAGCTTGTTTCCAGATGTATGTTTTAAGAAACATAATTGATTCTAAAACAAAGCTGATAGTTTATTATGCGATATTTTTTTCCATTATGCAATATGGTATTGAGTTATGGGGCTCAACATCATATGCCTCAACAATTTTTAAGGTACAAAAGAAGTTTTTAAGAATCTTATCATTTACACACAAAAAAAAGTCATGTAAACCGCTTTTTGAAACATTTGGAATTTTAACAATGCCTTCACTTTACATTTATAAAATTCTGGTATACTTTAAGAGTAATCCACAATTATTTATAAAAAATCAATTTATTCATCACTACCCAACACGTTCAAAAAATAATTTGCAGTATCCAAGACATCGGCTATGTGTTTACGAAAGATCACCGTACTATATGAGTCTGAGGCTTTACAACGGTTTACCTGCTCATTTTAAAAACATCAATAGTATTATAAAGTTTAAGAAAGAATTCAAATTATTCCTTATAAAAAAGAAATACTATACAATAGAAGAGTATTTAAATGATTGTTTTTTAAAAAGTGACTAGTTTAATTTTAATTTCAATTCTTAGATTTAGTTTTTTATTTTTGTTAGCTAAGAAATGACAATGTCATCTGTTTCACCAGCTTTGCTGGAAATGTGAAATGTTTTATGACAATAAAGTGATATTATTATTATTATTATTATCCACGGAATTGATAACATGATGGATATTGGTAATAATTGGTTTAAGAGTAATTTTCTTGAAATGAATAGAGACAAGACAGAGAAAATATGTTTTACACTACGCAGAAACCAAATTGAAAATCCAGACTATGTTAAATTGCTAGGTATTTTCCTAAATAAAAAATTAACTTGAGGAGGAACATACCAACAATGTAATATCTAAGTTGTCACGAGTTTGTTTTTTATTGCAAAAACTAAAAAAAAACGGTGTGTCAAATCACACACTCCTTTCTGTTTACCATAGTTTATTTCATACACACTTATTATATGGAAATATTCTCTGAGGAAATAGCTGTGGGTCAAGCAGGGTGTTTACTTGGCAAAGAAAAGCCCTGCGGATCCTGTTTGATATATCAAATAAAGTTAACTGCAAACCTTTCTTTATAAATAATAATATAACGAGCTGTTGTCCCGTCCTACGTACGGGATTGAAAAGTCAACTAAAACTGAAATTATATTAATATTTCCATTTCTACTCCAAGCAAAGTTCAAGCAGTTAACCATTTCCTGTAAACGAAAAGCTGCCAAGATGAATTAAAACATGTACACATTGTTATTTTCCTATTCTTTCCTCAAAAAGTCGAACAGAAAAATAATTTGCATAATTTTTCCTTTGAATACTCGGGGGCAGAGCCTCGATTTGTATACATCAGTGGTTATAGAATCTTGAATCTTACTTATTTTCTATATTCAATGCCAACATCCCAGAATAATAAACTAACCTGTTAGTTTGAAAGACAACTTTTATATTCAACCAGCTGTTAGTTAAAACAAATTATATTGCACTAAAACAAACGTAAAATTTTAAAGATTGCTCTAAAAAATAAATTAGAACATCTATCATTTTACCATGAATATTTAAATAGTCTGCCATCCTCTTACCCATAAAATGGACGTATCAATGAGCATAGCATTACACATAGTATAAATAAGTCAACCCTATGCATGTAATTATTATCCAAATGCTGAATTTGTGACACAAAAGCTGAATATTACCAGCTGTTATGTTAAGCAAATTATTTTATGCCAAAAGCTCACTGAGCTATAATTCTAACTGGAGGTAGCACTGAATGTCAAAGATGCGTGTCGCCAGCCGCCATGTTTGCGTGAGGTGTGAGTTATAAAGAAGCCATGTTATTGGATGAAAAAACTCACTGCTATACAAACCTAGTTATAGAAGCCATGTCATTGGATAAAAAAACTCACTGCTATACCAACCTAACAAAATCAGCGACACGCTTATGACAGACTTCTGCCATGGCAGTGCTACCTCCAGTTATAATTTTAGCTCAGTGCAAAAGCTAGTTAAGAATCTTAGCGTCGGCTGCTAGACTTTTTAAAAATTCAAACTTAATTTCTAAAAAACTGGGACCCTAAACTAAAATTATGGCTTCGACATTCCCTAGTTCTCAAAATTATCTTTCTTTCAACACAAAAATCATGAAAATCCGTCAAGTGGTTGATTCAGAATCGTGAAATAAAAAAACACCGTTTCGTTTTAATATTATAGATGACACTTTCAAGTATTTATATGTTTATAATTTAGTCAATGTTAAATAAAACATTTAAAATGTTTACTTAATGTCACTCAATACATAACCACTCAACTAGACAATCAAACAACCTGTACATCCCACCGGTTAGACTTTCAAAATTCACAAAAAGCCATAAATTTTTACAATTACAACTTTTCAATAAACTTCCCATTTCATTTAGAGAAATTGATAACATAAACCTTTTCAAATCGATATTATCAAGATGACTAATTAGCAAAGCGTTTTTTTTATAGACGATTTTTTAAACACAAATAATCACTCTGAACTCTTAACACTATTGGCCACTAGTAGGCAGTCTGCATATGACCAAAAATCTTTTTAGAAATTTTTCGAATATTTACAAATTGTTTAGTTTTGAAGTATTATTTACTTAAGTTTTTTATAAATTTGTGTAGGTAAGAGCATTCTATCTTAGAATTTTAAATTTAAAGGCCTATATGTACAGTTTATGCAACAAAATATTCAATGGTTCATAAGATGATTAAGCATGATGTCATATTTGTATCCTCACTTCTGATGTTGTCTATTGTAATTTTATGTTGCTGAATGACAATAAAGATTATTATTACTATTATTATCTACACCGAGCACTGATATTAAATACTTATTTAATAGGAATAGGAGAGGTCAAATATTGTGAAGAGGAAGTATTAGGCAATGCTGTTTGATATGACTGGAAGTGTTGTTAAACAGTAGCTTGTTGTGCTTATCTACAGAAGTCTGTGGCTCTAAGTACGTTGGTGTACTTGTAGGAGAGTATTTGGTATGGAGTGTTAGTGTGGTGTACTGGAGGACAGGCTCTTGCTAGGGAACAGCGTTTTTAAGACAATCTTAAAGGTTTTTAAAATTGGGGTTTAGCGTCTCTTTCCAAATTGGGGGTTTTGTGTCAAACTAAATTATTATTAACACTTTATTCCAGTCATCTCAATCTGTTAATTATTGTTAATCTTCTTTGTATGTTTTGTGGAGTAGTAATTAAGTTGCGTGTTGTAAGCTAGTACTGCTACGTCACTCAAGGTAACTGTGGATAAACCTCCACAAGTTTCCTACCACACTTACCTTGGTTTAACATTGGCCAAGCTGCATTCGATGGCTTGGAAGCGTAGTTTGAGAAAGTCAGTTCTCAGCTGTAGGATCTCGCTCTTCAAGTGAAACTCTTTATCTCCATAGTCTACGTAGTACAAGTCTACTTGGTCCTCATCATCGCAGTCACCCTTTACTATGGCCTTAACTTCCGCTCGGTACCACTTGTTATCATGACTGAACGGAGTGGCCACTATCTGGCCAACATCTACCTGAAAATTACTCCTTTTTTGAAAAACCAGTTTACATAGTACTAAAATAATTTCTATATTTAAGTCACCGGGGTAGACTGCATTGATATTCACTTGTTAACTTGGGTGAAAGGTGTTGCCATGACTTAAAACCTTGAATTAGGTCTAAAATACTAGGATAATTTGTTCCTCTTAATCATTACAGTCACTAGGTACAAAAGTTTTTACTTCTGCATGGTCCGGTACCATAGACAAAAAGAATTATATATAGACCGTCAGCCAAGCTGCAGTTCCCATAGTTTCTGGCGCACACTGCTGGGAGCGCCATGTACTTACGGCGTACGCGCTAAGTAACTACACAGTGCTCCCAGCGGTGTGCGCCAGAACCTATGGTAACCGCAGCACGGCTGACACGACAGTCTATATTTAATCCTTTTTGTCTATGATGGTACCTGCCAACCTGCTCAGTCATCTGCTCCTTGCAGGTGTGTGTCCTGACCTTGTATTAGGCTTTTAACTTGGAATACACCTCAGCTTTCAGAATATACAGGGAAGAAAGAGTTACTAGACCCAACTTTCTAAAGACAGCCCTACAAGACTCTCTAACATGCAGTTAACTACTTCACTATTATCATGGCTTTTTTAACTGAATAACTTTTGGAAATTCACATAGGCACATCCACCCTTGAGGATGATTCCATTTAAGTAAACAAAATCTCGTCTTCATAAGAAATACATTGGGATTTTGATGTGGGGCAAAGCCCGAGGACTTTTTTCAGCTTTTATTTCAGCTTTTATTTTTTTTCAGCTCAATTGGTGAAAGGGAGAGTCTACAAAAAAAAAACTTAATTTTGACAAATCGTTTGCAAAAATCCGTTCATTATTAACGGAGGAGTAGTGTTTCGTAGAAATCGCCTTCATGTCATCTTATCTTACTAATATTATAAATGTGAAAGTTTGTGTCAATTTTAAGAACCAACTTTTACCAAACTGTGTCCTCCCCCAAACACAAAGCTTGAGTATAACTGCAATTAGAATTTATACTTATATGCCAACTCCGTACGAAGGACGGATACTCTGCTAGTCACAGAATAAATGTCATAACAATATTCATAAGTTAACTTCTTATTTTGTCACAGGCCAACTTTAGATTGAGACAACACAAAACGTAATTTTAACAACTCAAACCATCTTCAGAATGCTATTATACTTATGTTTGTTATTTATTTAGATTTTACTTTACCTAATGACAAAACAACATAAAAATAGTAAAATTATAGTGCAACAAATCAAAATTAGTTTTTACCTTGTTCAAAGCGTGAAAAGATCTATTTTCTTCAACAGTGTAATAATCTGTCATTTCTTGAACTAACTGGTCAAGTTCGGCAGAAGATGGACTGAATACCTGTGATTGAAATGACCAACATAAAAACAATAACTTCGTTACTCATTAATAACTAGAGGCAAAGTTAGCATGAGTGGTATGAGGCAACTTAAATTAGAAGTGTACGGGTAGTAAAATTTCAGTTAGGATCGGATTCGGTTCGGTTAGTTAAGGTTCCGTTTTGATCGGATCGGATAATTAGAGGTTCGGATTCGGATAGTTTGACAATCAAGTACTTATTAAATAAATAACTCTAAAGGTTAGGGAGTTATAATTAAAATTTGCATCTTTATATGCAAAAACTACAATGTGAATAGGCCTACTGCACAATATTGTGATATATTGTAAGTCATTAATCAATCATTAAAGTTTAAATTCACAGCTTACTCAAACTTAATAATAACGTATACTGTACCTTATATTTTTATGCAATCAGAATCAACTTATATGGCAAGGCAATGTCTCTGTGCAGACCTTGTATTATGATGCAATCAATTTATAAGACAAGGCAATGTCTCAGTGAATAGGCCTACCTTATTATCATAATACAAGTCCAAAATGTCAAATTTATAGTACCTATATCTGAAAAAGTCGGATATTTAATGGATAGTGTCGGATATCAAAGTTGGGTTTGGTTTGGATACGGATATCTGAACCAAACCGAATCCGACACGATTTTTCAGATATTCGGACACTCTACTTACTATTCAGCGTACAAAGAAACATTTAACCTAGAAATGAACCACCATTACCATCTACCATAGCGATGAATACAAAACCTATAAGAAACACTTTAATGCCTTTGTTAAAAATTCAGTCTTGGAATGTGGCGGCCTCTAGGTAGACTATTGTAAGCGCACGGCTAAGTCAGCTGACTGAGTGAGAGAGAGCGAGACAAAGAATTGGCTTAAAGAGAGAGAGAGAGAGATAGAGTAGCAAGGCCACGGCAAGAGCGATCCTAGTGGCGGCCGTGCAAAGCTCATTTTGGCGGTAAAACTCCAGTCTGACTATTTTCCATAAGCATTTAGCTTCTTTAACGGTTTGTATTCATTGACTGTAGTAAGTGACTGTAGTAAATGATGACTGTGGTCCTATCAGTTTAGCTTTCTAACTCAATGTATAAATAATCAATAATTGACAGTGCCGGATAACACACTCTACCAGTGGTTCAGTTCAACTATGTTTATTTTTATTTTTCAACTTTAACATGGGAATGGAATATCTAATGCTATCTACGGTCAAACATACTGCTTCTAAGGCAATAAAAGATTGCATGAATAGCTATATTTTATATATTAAGCCAAATATATTAAGTGGCCAAGTTTAATACTAGGACTTGGAAAAACTGAGCTCCATAGAATGTAAAATATCTAAAAATATAATGACTGACAACCCTGACGTCACTAAATACTAGAAACTCAAAAGCTTCAACTGTTACCATTTACTATCCTAATATCTAAAGTCTAGATAGGCCTACATGCTTTGATGATAGGAAAAATACCAATAGCTAAATTGATAAACATACTTGAATCCAAAAGCATGAAGGAGATACAACTGCAGAAACAAACACTTGCAAAATGCCGTCACTGCCTGTGGCTGACAACCACTGGGAAATGCCACTCTTGTTGTCTTTTGCTACCTGGAAACATATGTATGGTCAATAACACAAGGCAATTTAACCATTTAATCATCATTGAATTGTATCAAAAGTAATATTACTTTGCCTACCTAATTCATTTATGTAGACAAAAATGACAATTAAAAATATGGTTGTAATACCTAATTAATATAATATAAATGATCAATTACAGTTTTTTCTATACAGCCACAGGAGACGGATATTTCAGGATACTTTAGTAGAATAGGACATTTTTTAGGACAGTTACTTTGAAAGAGAAAGATGTTGAGAAAATCAGACCTTACAGAATTTACAAAGAAAAAGCACAATTTAGGAGTCTAAGACTTGGGTAAATGTTAGAAGACTTACAGATAGGCTACAAATTTTGAGACAGGTACATACAGTGATGGACGGAGATGTATTTGACTTTGGTTTGTTTCTGGGAGACCGACTGGCATGACTCAGTTCCATCTTCCTCCGCATTTCGTAATCCTCCTCCACCTTCTCATTGATCAGAGACACCGCCACCGCAATCTGCTCCATCGTACCCTTGATGCAGATTCTGGTTTCTCCATCGCCTCCTAGATCATTCAAAGCATTTACATTCATTTAACTTTAGGAAGTTTAAAAACTTACAAGGTTGTGTAAAAACCCAAAATAAAGTGTTCTTTAGCGCTGGTAAAAAGAGATTTCATCCTTATGGATTAGCTGAAGATAATGTTATGGATAACATAGTTCTATCCGGTTTCTGTAGAGGATATTTTTTTGTTCTCACAATCAATTTGTGATATGTTCATATTAACACAATGTTTTATAATCTTTGTATTTATTTATTGCCATACGTTTTTGTTATTAATTCCAATTATTGTGATTTTGTTTACTTTTGTCTTGTCTTTATTAGATTACAAATAAAGTGCTTTTTATTTGTAATAGTCTGACATTATTTCTACATTAATTCTACATTATTTCCTCATTATATTAAGGCAATTGTTATTGAAACAATTCAAATATATTTTAATAATTAAATTAAGTAAAAGGTTCAATTTATATACTAGTGTTTCAAAAAATCATATGGATCATTCAGGCCCAGTGTCACTGAGCAGCAGGCGGAGTGAATGGAACATGGTAAGACTGTTGCACTACCCTCCAGTTCTGGTATATGTGTGCAGCGGGGCTGGATGTGGTGTTGACGGGCAGAGTGTATGGAACACGGTACGGCCACCAAACTGCTAACTGGTGTGTTTCCGAAGGAAATGATGCCTGAAGATAAATGATGGAAACTCGGCATCTAGGCGTGAATCCTACCCCTCCATCACGGAGGGCTTGCCCATGGATTCTTGGGAGGGCAAATCATCAGGCAACGTTTCAGTGAGGAGGGTGGAGGGGGCGAAGAGGCTTTTGCCAGGAGCTCCCTCACAGCTAGATCTCCACCTAATATTAATAACCTTCTAATGCTTGAAGAACCGCACAAGGCTGTAGCGGATTGTAAGGCTGATTCAAGCATTTATGCCAATCTAACTCTGCTAACCTTTCCTAATCGTAGAAGACAATGCTGACATTTCGTTCTGGGGGGATATTCAGGATTTTGCCGTCACCGCGGGAGACAATGATGATATCTACTTGACTGTGGAAAATGAATAAAGTTTTGCTGCGATTGTGGAAGAAGATGGTGTTTCCGTTACCGCAAGGTAAGGGTTTTGCCGTGACCGTAAGAGACAAAGAAGATGTCTACAGCCACTCCAGTTAATGACTTTAACATAGGGGAATTTGATTCGAGAATCTATTGAATGAATTAACTGAATTAAAACAAAGGAATGGGAAAAAATTTCTGGAATTGACCCATTGCTCCTTATAACGTAATGCTATTCCATCTTTAGATCATTGTACACCGTACAGATCAGTGGTCTATAGTTGAAAATTAAGAAACCAAAATAAAAGAATGAACACTTAATATCACAACTACCTCTTGTTGCTCCAGATGACAAACTTTCCACATTGATTTTAGCGTTGGAAGCCATTTTTATGGATCTTATGCTCTCACCATTTCGTCCAATGATACGACCCACAGATCTCTGAAAAAATAACAGTAAGTATTAATTTATAGGAAAGCCTAAGGATCAGTAAACATTTGCTAACATTTTTTCACCATTTGTTTAATGAGGTTGGGATTGGTAGCTTAAAACATCATTGGTTCATTTTTTTATGTCACAAGAAAGCCATAGTTTATCCTCCAAAGTAGGCATATCCATCAAAACCAGTTAACACTCAAGTTATTTTATATTTTAATCATCCTCAACAAGTCCATGTTTTTTGTGTTGAAGTAATTTGACAGAACTATCCACTGCAGAAACTAAAAATTATTTGTTCAAATATTTAAGGTTTTTATAGCAAAATAATGCCTAAACCAGTACCTAGAATGCCTCCTTAACAGTCGAGGAGTATGATAAGGGTCCATAAGTTGATTTTACTTAACTTACAGTAGTAGTTTTCGTTACTAGTCCCTAAAGTAGGCTTTTTTGGGACGATATCGTGGAAATTCGATTAAGTCACAAAAAAGCATTTTAGGACGAGTTACGAACAATATTTTTCATTACATTGTCATATATTATAGCAGAAAATACAAAATATAGCCAAAACCGTTTGTTCATATATTGTTGAAGCATTTTAAGGATCAGAACAGCTAATTTGTTTTTGAGATAAAATTTGACATAGCTATGATTCAAATCCGTAAAATTTTACGGACTAGACCGCATATCTTCAGGGATTCAAAACGATCTGTAAGACAGCTGTTTTTGAGACAGTGTAATAAAAATGTTATATTTATAATAATTTTCATCAGTCCCATATTTTTTAGGTAGTCCGAGACTCTCCCAGTCTGATAGTTATCGGATTATTAGGAGTCAACTGCAGCCTACTTGATTCATAACTAAAATGATCTACTAAACCTACCTGTGGCACCCAGATTTCCTTTAGCTCAATAAGAGGCTGGGACTTGATAATCTCATGTATCATAGACTCTGCCTGTTGAGCCGCCTCAGCCACCCCTCTGATGTAGCACACTCTGAACTCATCGTCCTCTGAAACAAACACACAGAATACTGGTACCATCAACATTTTTGACTTTCAAATACATGGAATTGGCCAAAATTAGTATGAATCTTAGGTAGCTAAATAAGGATTACACAAAGATTTCTTGTTTGATTTTCCTGACCTTCCATGATCCATTGCTAAAAATTTTATTGACCACAGATTTTTAATTATTATTTTAATTATTATGTTTTTATGTTAATCTTTTATTGTACGCCTACAATTTTTTGCACCAATTTTGGAACTTATTTAGGGTTAACTTATCAAGGGATTCTAGCTTGAGTAACCAATAAAAATTTGAGGGTAAAGAAGGCTCCTGCCAAGTTGGAATTATGTTCTCAGAATACAGTCCATTGGGAAGGGAGTCACCCCTCTAGGCGATTCTCATACAAAGTTTCACTATTTGTTGTCACTGACTTAAACAAATCTATGAACGAGTGCATTTGGATGCCAAACTAAACTACAATGGTGGGTCCTCCCTTGAACTTTCCTTATTTTTTAGACAAAAGCCAATTTAAGAAATTTCCCTGACTTTCAGCACTTTTCTAACACTAACTCTTAACAATTTTTTCTTAAAGGTCCATATAGGAAAATCTCATTGAATAATTTAATAAAAACAGCAATGAAACAACTAGGAATCAAAAAATGTAGCTGTAGATACTATTATGATGGTACTCTTAATTTTGTTTATCTCAACATGTAAAAGATTAGTACCGATCACTTTGAACAAGCCACAAAATTCAAAATAAAATTAGGCTACTTTCTACAAATTAACGCAACAATCAAAACTTACCCATATCTTTGAAATATATCCTAGTGTCAGTCTTTTCTTGAATATCCTTCACATTACTTCCACCCCGACCAATGACAACTCCAACCACAGATTTTGGTATTTTCATTTCAATAACTTTAACCCGAGAAGTCCGCACATCTTGCAGGGTGTCCTGAAGATCCTCGTCTTCCTGCAATGCAGTCAAATAAAAAATAAAATAAAACAAAAACCAAAACAAACTGAAATGTGTAGGCTAGATTGTAAATTATTATCCAACAATTCATTCTCTGTCCTAATTCCTTTCAGCAAATAAAGAGATAAATTAACATTTTAAAATGCTAGACCGGAAACTTATTTTAGTTTAAACTAAATTTATGTATTCAATTTCAATTTAGCAGTTCTAGTATGTCTACTGGTAAAATAGTTTGACTTACCTTTTTATGCAACAGATATAAAACGGTAGCACAAACTCCAAGAATAGGTAAGCTGATGATGACTGCAGTCTTTAGCATTCCCATTGCAGATACCTGGCATTTAAACCTAAAAAAATGTCAGTGTAGCCTAAACAAAATAGATAGATTTTCATGGGCAGGAGAGTCACACAAACAGGAACACACAAACAGTTCAGCCTGTCCTCACCCTCTAATAACAGAGTGAGGTACCTACAAGTGAAGAGGGTATCCTAAGGCACATCCTAAGGTATATTGGAAGTGGATCAAGCCAACCTGACCAGAATAGACCCAGCACTCCTACACTGTTGCTAGTGTCAGTATTAAGGTTCAGTGAGAAATTTGTACAAAGACTACTTCCTTCAATGGCTATAGAAGTGATTCATAGCAGAACTAAGGGCCCTATCACACGGGGCACCTGGTGAAAGCAAACTGTCCAGGTATTTGATGAAAATCCAGCTCATTTTAAGTAAAATTAAACTAACCAATAGTTTGCTACTACATAAATTTGCAGCGTAATTTAAATAGGCTATGTCGGGGCACCCCCCCCCCCCCAAACATTAAGTAGGCCTATAACTAACTTATGGGTTAGCCCACAGACCTCCAGGCATGGGTAAAACGAATTTGGGGGGGATCAAACTTAGGCCTATCTAATCAGAGGCTAAATAAACAAAATTGTAGGCCGAGGCCATCACTATTTACACACTAAGCAAGAGTTTTGCATAGTCTTGGGTTAGTTTTTCATAGCTTTTTCAACATCGTAGCAAATTGTAGGCCTACAATAATTAGGCTATTTACAAAGTGTATGCTCTCCAAAGAGTAACTTAGGGATCAAACCCCAAAAACTGACCTCCAATGACAAATTGATAACAGCAATGCTTGTTTCCTGTAAGCTGTAGGCTTAACCCTGGAGAGCGTGCGCCTATCGTCAAAACACAAGAACGCACGATGGGTAATTTTTTACCCCATTGTGTTTTTAGCGAATTTCCCTATAGGGAAGTAGCTATTACCGTAGGTCTCATGGTAAGACCTAGGCCCGGGACCGATTTACTTTTTCATTTTGATGTCCCCAGAGGCCAAAAACACAATTCGTTCAAATTTTTATATATCTATATATAGATACCACCATATATATACATATATATATGTGTCCATCCGCACGATAACTTGAGTAATTTTTGTCCGATTTTGATAAAATTTGGTTTGAAGGTGTAAGGCGGGATAAACTTGAATGAGTTCGCGAACCAGCATGATCGGACTATGGGAACGGAGTTTTATGGGGTAAAAATAGGTTTTTCCCATTTTTGACCCTAAAAACACAAAATTTCACAATTTGTTTTTAAACCATTTTGTAGAGCTTAAAAAAACAAATAATTTAGTATATTGAAGCGTTATTATGCGCCTAATTGTTACGGAGAAAATTCAAAAAAATTGTAATTTTAAAATTCCCATGTTATTCTTATGGAGGATAAGTCAACTGTTATAGTTTGCTTGTTTATGAACATATTTTGATCAAATTTGGAAAATAAATTAATTTCTTACTAAACCACAGTACCTTTTAACATTTTACATGAAAAAAAAAACTTTTTTACCCTCCCTGTTGCAGCAAACCTAAGCACTCATTAAACTAATTCTGTTTAAATAGGGAATAGGCTACATGTGATATTTTTAAGGAGACATTTTAGTTTAAATCCAATCAGGCAAATGGAAATTCGCTAAGTCTGCAGGTTTGCTGTGGCGGGGGTATTTTAGGATTTTAATGATAAAACAACATAATACTTGATTAAAATATACTTAAACTTTGAATTTAAATATCAAAACACAAATAAATGACATTTTAAACCTTTAATTATCTTTAAAAAGTCTGGTTTTTACACGTAAAAACAGTCCTTGTAAGTTTCCACATGATGGTCCTTACAAATACTTTTTCCACAATTGTTGCAGATTTTTGTCGTCTTTGTATCTTAACTTCATGGACAGAAGTCACATAGCGTTACTATTTGACTTCTGGATTGAAGATAAGGCAACAGAAATTCATGCCCTAGTGTAATATGGTGGTAATATGCACAAATAACACACTCATTGACATCTTCGAACTAATACATAATTAGTAATTCGCCCAATTCGTGAACTCTGAATGTATAGCATGAGCGCGTGCGCGGGGTAAAAAGTCTCCAAAACAATGTAGGGTCTTGTTTACGTGACAACTGCCATGGACACACTCCTGCTGATTGGCGCCTCCAAACCTCAAGGTCAGACAGTGGACAAGTTGACTTGAAGGTATTGAGGGGGAGGAAGCAATATAAAAGCTTATTAGGCCTACGTGTCGGCTGCAATTTGGGCTGCACTTTGCTTTACACTCATTCAACACCTATGAGGGTCCTACACTCATTCAAACGAAAATATTGATTATTCGATTGTTTCTTTCGATATATCATTTGACGAAATATCATTTGATTTGAAACGATATATCGAATGAAACAATCGATTAATTGATATTTTCATTCGAATGAGTGTAGCACCTAAAGTAAAGTGCAGCCGCAATTTGAAAATGGACCTGGAGAAAAACTACTCCGCGCGCGCTCTCTAGGGTTAACGAGTCAGTGTGAGTAGGCCTATGCTATAAGCCTAGGCTATAAACAAATTTTTGGAAGACCACTAGCCTATTTAAGACTATGTTTGTGTTCTAAATTAAGTTGGGAATAATACAGTAACTTAAGTTAAGTTACTCCACCAAGGTTTATAAAATATTGAGGTTTTTAAAGTCATGTTTAAGTTAGGTAAAATTAACAAGTTAACTTTTAAGTTAAATCTACATTAGCCTATCTTCAGATTATTATTTACCAACCAATGCAAAAACAAAACAACAAATACTAGGCAGATATCATAGGTCTAACTGTTTTAACTAGACATCCTATAACTTAAGTTGAACCACGATTTTAACATAAACATGAGAACATAACCAAAAAACTCTATGTTCAGTAACTTAGATAAAACAGAACTTTCTACGTGATTTTATATTAAATATGAATTAAAAGAACAAATTAATAATCAAAATAAATAAACTAACCGGTGAGCAAAAATTAGTCCAAGAAAACAGGATCGAGGATCGTTTTAACCTTCAAACAAATATTTACTTTTATCCAACCAACAGAACAGCAGACAGAGACATCTGGTCAATAACAATAGACATCGACATCACATAGCACAACACATCTGAGATCTGACTGAGACTGGAGTCTGAGCCTGGAGTTTGTGTATTGTGTGACCACCAATTTATCTAGTAGGCTACATAATCAATGGTAAAACTATCTTTTTCTTTTTACTTCCCGTTGCAAAATAGCAACACAAGTCAGTCGTAAAAAACAGTGTTTGTTATGTTGTGTTTTAGAGGTTGAGGTTGAGGTTATGTTTACTTTCAGTCTTTCAGTTTTAAAGGCGAACAGCGAAGTAAATTCACTCTCACTGTCTCACATCAAGAAGTTATTCTTTGTTAATTGTTATTTTTAGGTTCATTGATGTCAACATGTACATGAAAAGGTTTAACAATTTCTCACTTAATTAGATTCCAACAAATTAAAAAGTTTGCTAAGTTAGTTTTCAAAGATGCTTAATCTATGGCCATAGATAGGCCTACTAATACTAAATCAAAACGTTTTAGAAAGAAGAAATTATCAATGTGGGTTTTTTATGTTAAAATAATGAACCTTGTTGTTTTGTTTTTTTTTATAAAGCTTGCATATTAGATGTATAACTTAGATTTAATCCAGTTCATCCAAATTTAACTGTGTAGGCTTACTTAATCCCAATAAGTTAGACCTAGGGCCTATTAGATGTATGTTTAGTCCAGGTTGTTATGAACATCACACTCACGGTCGAAGATAGCTAAACGGGTTTATCACATTGTTACTGGTATTTTAACTATCTCAGCTTTACATTGTTTTCTATTCAATCATTTCTGTTACAGGTAGATATATCATAGGTTACAGCCTAAGAAGAAATATGAAGGTTTTCATTTTGCTAAGAGGATTCATTTTCTTTGGTAAGTCAATCAAAGTAAGGCCCTGTACACATGAGGGCGGCAGCCGCCGCGGTGGCCGCAGCGGCTGCCGCCTAGGACCGCACACATGGCAGCGGTTGGAGCCGCGGTTACAGCCGTGGTTACAGCCGCGGTTACGCTGCGGTTGCGGTGTGAATTGACCGTCGCTCGACAGCCAGTACTGTATTTACCCAATTATTTTTCTTTAAAACGTGTAACGCTTGACAAGTCTTTTCAGCAAAAAACTCAACTAACTCTTGCCACGCAATCTTTTTTAGTTTATGTCCTAAACGTATCTTCTTTTTTGTACTTCTTTAACGAACAGTTCAGTGTCCAAGTTTTCTGATTACACAGCAGCACGCATGGCCATTGTAAACTTACACTACGAGCACTACATCAACTCCAGCCACAGCACACACTTCACGAACACAGAGAGAGAGAGCGATGTCCACAGGGCAAACGCGCAGATGTGATCCTATAGTAGCAAACTGCAGTCAACCGCGGCGGCTACTGCCCTCATGTGTACGCTCTCATGCCAACTCTAGTAACTTCAACCGCACGGGAGCCGCGGCGGTCGAAGGGAAATCTACGACCGCCGCGGTTTGTTGCGGTTGATTGGAAGTGGGCGGTTGCATGTGAACGGTCCCATTTACTCCTTTGTACTTTCAACCGCCGCGGTTCCCGCGCAATAGCAACCGCGGCGGCTGCCGCCCTCTTGTGTACAGGGCCTAAAAAAAAATAGTGGGCTCTCTCATCATAACTCATTCCTTGTAAACTGCTTAACCCTTTCAGTGCTAGACCAATAATTTCTATTTTGTAAGACTTTTTTGTTTGCCTTTTAATTCCATTACCTGTTGTTGAATTTTAACTGTCATGTTGTCACTATTTTATTAATTAGGCTAATTTTGAATAATAAGACAATAAGAAAATATATAAGAAAGATAAATACCGCTATTTGTAGTAAACATTAAATAAAACTTAGTTTTAGTTGTAATTTTCCTGGTTTTCCTATAAATTTTTATGTTCTGATAGCATTATTTGAAACCAAAATCTCATTAAATCAAAAGACATATAGTTTACAATGTAATATTGAATTTAACCTTGATTTAGTTTGGACGAGGTTATCGTAATATAGCCGTTTTAGGGAAACTAATGTTTTGCAGCAAAGTCTCAGGAACACATTTATGATCACTGTTGTGTTTAAACTAAAAGATTGCATCTAAATAGTCCGTGACTAACTGGTGCTGCTACCTAGTAACGCATTGAACAACCATCTGCAGCGCCATCTGTTCGCAATCGGTGGCAACAGTTTAAATACCGGGTTTTGACTCCCCAGTCTTCAAGCACAGATAGCGGAGAAGGCTAGGGCGTGTGTCACTTGGCCAGTGGCATTCGTCTGCTCACTGCTCGGGTTCGAATCCCGTCCTGTGTGGCAAATAATTGGTGACCTGTGTGTTTGTAGCGATATACTACAACCACTGGGGCATAGTGAGGTGTTCATAATCCTTGGTTTAGACATACACCTCGAAATCATCGGATTGGGCGAATCTTTTAGCTAAGTGGTTGATAGTGTATCCTATGAACATGCAGGTCACCAATGGCCGTTTTGCTATTTTTTGTTAAAATAACCTTCCTCTCTATATCCCTTAGAGATTTTTTAAAACAACGATATATCGTTTCATAGCACTGAAAGGGTTAATAGCCAATATAAGTTTATAGTTGGAAGTGGATAACTTTAAACGATAAAAATTTTTTTAACTTAACTTAGTCGTTGTTACCCTAACTTATATTGACTTAGTGAGTGCTAAATGTGTTGGTGTTTATATGGCCCAATAAATTACTATAAATAAATTAATAAGTTATGATATGGTTTGTTATTTTATAACATTTAGGGGCGTTTTGGGAGCTCGAGTTCAGTCCAGCTAGTACGCGCCCAGTGGAAGACGCGCCTAACTTTAGTACGCGGATCCAAAACCAGGCTTGGGAGCGGAACATTAGACATTAGACATTATTTATTTGCACATAACATTCTTTTAGATGTGATAACATATAGAACAGGTGCATTGTCAAAATTGAGCCTAGACTAGAAAAATACAAAGTACAAAGTAACAGGAAAAAATACCTAGCCAAATAATATTAATACAGTACAGTAGTTAAGAAAATTAAAAACAGATTTATTAAATTGGATAAAAACATTGGACACAGATTGAAATTAATTCAAGGGATGGTTATAAAATTCTTCTATTTTATAAAACGCACGTTCATTTTTCAATGTTTCTTGAAACTTGTTTGAACTCATTTTTTTATAATATACTGGTAGTTTATTATACATTTTTAAACCTGCATTCAAAGGACTTTTTTCAAATAAGGTCAAACGGTGATTTGGTAATCTGAAAATTGTTTCGTTTCTTGTACTATAGTTGTGTGTGAATTTGAATGAATCCGGGAGGTTATTTTTTATATTGTGTATGTAGTTTAATAATTCAAATATGTATAGTCCTGTGAGTGTTTGGATTTTTAAATTTTGAAAATGTAATTTACAAGGACTTCTGGGGTGGGAATTAGTCATAATTCGGATGATTCTTTTCTGAAGTCTGAAAATAGTTTTTGCATCAGTTGCCTGTCCCCACAAAATCACACCATACCTCAAGATGGATTCTACATAGGCATGATAAACCATTTTAAGTACTTCAATGGTGACACATTCTCTCAAGTGGACAAAGACAGATGATGCAGATCTAATTTTTTTCTTTATAACATCTAGATGCACCCTCCAGTTAATATTTTCATCTAGATGAATGCCTAGGAATTTATTTGAATGGACTAAATTGGAAAAACTATTTAATTCTCTTTCATTTCTGGCTCAAAATTTTATAATTTGGGTTTATAGTTTGGGGGAACCTAAGTTGTAGGCCTAATGGTCGTAGAGCAAGTATAATCGCGACTAAGTCGCAGCGCAGCTAGATTGTCAGGGAATTGTAGGGAATTTAGGTTTTGGGGCTCGCAACAGCCACTGCAGAACATGTGAATGTCAACAACAATAAAAAATGAAAAATTATTGGTGATGATTACAATTCTATCTTGGTATATCAATGATGGCTAATTAGTAGCCTATTAGCCTATTATACGGTGTAAGTTTCTGTGTTGTACCAATGCAAAAATGTTGTGTGTTTTACATATTAATGACTGACAAACCGTATACTTTTATAGAGAAGAGGTGGGTAGTGATGGGATCAACTGATTGAAAACCACCGATTGTTGGAAAAACAACCAACTAGTCGGTTGTTCTCCCGGATATGATTGTAACTAGTCAATTCATACTCCCGGTCCTATGGCGACTGGAACCAGTCAACCAATTGTTCGAATAACTCAGGGAAACAGTAAAACATCGGTGATTGAAACTAGGTCGTAAGAACCACTGAACTGACTGTTGTTGAGACTGACTTGTGGATGAAAACTGTTGTAGATTAGCTCGTACTGTAGACAAATTGTGAACAGTGTTTAGGTATAATTCTGAGGAAAATTAAAATAATGGAATTATATGTGAATTTTTTATGTCTTTAAAAGTGTTTAATATCCAAGTTAAGTTTTTTAAGTACTCATGATTTAGATGTAAATGACTAATACAGTCATACTGTATCTGTGTCAAAAGCCATAACCAGGTAATAAACAAATAGGAATATTTGTTTTACTGAGTTTAGTTTGAGATAGTAGGACTACTGAATAATTTACAACTTGTCCTGTATGAACTATGTAAATGTTATTTAGGCCTAGTAATAATACTTATAAAACTTCAACATATAAAAGACAACACAATAAATCAACAACAAAGACTCAAAAGTTTCCAGTAATAATGTGATTGATTATTTTCCTTGCAATGACTGAATCCATTGCGCTGATTGAACACTACCAGTTGTAGTGGAATTCATTCGGTTTTTCATTCAACTGAAAAAACCGACTAGTTTTAAAAACGACCGATTGACTAGTCGATTGTTTTTTCCAGTTGGTTGTCCCATCACCAAGGATGGTGTCTGTCTGTCTGTGTGTTTGCAAGAGCTTAACTAAAACACAAAAACTACTGGACCGATTGGGCTCAAATTGGAAAATTTTTAAATTTTAAACA